GTGTGTGTGTGTGTGTGTGTGTGTGTGTGGCGAATGGCATGGTTGGGGGACGGCGATGGAGATTCCATGCTTTGCGCGCTGCGCATGCGAGATGCTGTCGCGTGCATGCGTTCGCGTGGGCTTCCTTATCGCGGCTGGGCCCTGGGGTTGGGTTTGTGTGGCGGCACTCCTTGCTTTGGCTTGGCTTTTGGCTTGGCTTGGGATTGGGAAGGCAGTGGAAGGATGCGCTTCCTGCTGGTGATGGGAGTGGTGGGCCTGATTGTGGGCGGTGCCCGCTATTGTACTTTTTTTTCGTTCGTTTACTTATGGAGTACGGGTGTTGGTTGTGACAAGTGCGCTGAGGAGACGAATGATGGGAATTCGTCTGTTCGTTACATACTCACCAAGTAACCTAGATATCTTCTCAATCCTTAGGTATCTACTGTGCTACTCGATGGCTCTTTTGCTGTGAGTCAGGTGCTTGCGCCATGGCAGCGCGACCGAGTCTCCTCTCACCAAAACCCAGTGCCAGTCCAGAGATAAGAGAAGAGGCCGATATAGCTGCGCCAAAGAGCACCATCCAAACACCCGCGCACAAGGCAAGCCCAAGCGACAAATCAGCCACTCTAACCCTCACGCAGGCTAAAAGCGCCCGGAATATCGTGGCCGGGGCATCTAGCGACGTCAATCCCTCACAACGTGCACCACCACGGCGCGGATGCCATAACCCAGCGTTTTATTTTGGCTAGACACCGGTTGCTGCGCGTGAATTGCTCTCGAGAGCGCGAAGCGGATGCCGCTTGTTTGGTGCTTTCCTTGCACCGGTGTCGGGATACGGCTTCCGAGCTGAGGGCGGGTTGGGTGGCTCCTGGGTTTGGTAGGATGGGTTTTTCTTCTTCTTCTTCTTCTTCTTCTTCGTCTTCTTCTTCGTCTTCTGAGTGGAGTATTTAAGGAGAGGGTCGCTTCTTTCATTGTCCGGCCATGGCTACGCCGTCTCGTCTGTCTCTTGTTGTCCTGTCGTGTCCGCTTCTGCGCTCCGCTGTGCGTACGCCTACTACCCGTTTTGGCTGCTCGACGAACACCACCACCGTCATGTCTATACCGTCCTTGTCTTTCCTTCGTCATCCTGTCCGCGCCTACCACGACCAGCATACGAGCTCGGACAAGGACTCGGACTCAGACCCCAACGCGTCCGTCACCACCACCACGATCCCCTCCCGCCTCTACAAAGCCGACGAAGCGCCCTCCCTCGCCGAACTCGCCGCCCTCTGCAACCAGCCCATCACACAACGCGACTACCCCCTCAGCACCACCATCTCATCCAACATCCCACTCTACGACCTCTCGCGCTTCTCCCCCAGCGACAACAGCAGCGTCTCCCATCTCCAAGACGAATGGGCACACAACCTACTCTCCGGCCCCGGCGTCTTCGTCGTGCAAAACCTGTACCCAGACCCTTCCGTCATCGCCGCCGCCAACACGGCCTTCGACCTTATCCTAGCCGTCGAGTCCTCCTCCCCAACAAACGTCAAGGGCGACCACTTCGCCGCCTCATCCGCCAACGCCCGCATCTGGAACGCGTTCGGCAAGCACGCGCTCGCGGCCCCGGAGTCCTTCGCAACCTACTACAGCAACCCCTGGCTCCCGGCCATCGCTGCCGCCTGGCTGGGCCCCGCGTCCCGCCTGACCGCGCAACTCAACATTGTCCGCCCCGGCGGCGCGCCCCAGACCCCCCACCGCGACTACCACCTCGGCTTCCAGTCGGCAACTTGCGCCGCCGCGTTCCCGAAACCCCTCCACGCCGCCTCCGCGCTGCTGACGCTGCAGGGCGCCGTCGCGCACAGCGCCATGCCGCTCGCGAGCGGGCCGACAAGGTTCCTGCCCGGCAGCCAGCGCTTCGCCCAGGGGTACATGGCGGCGCGCCGGCCGGAGTTTGCCGAGTTCTTTGAAAGAAACTGGGTCAGTCTGCCGCTGGGGGTCGGGGATGGGGTTTTCTTCTCCCCGGCGCTCATGCATGCGGCGGGTAGGAATGAGACGGAAGATCTCCAGCGCAGCGCCAATTTGTTGCAGATTAGTGCGGCGTTTGGGAAGCCGATGGAGAGTGTGGATGCGCTGCCTATTGTTAAGGTGGTTTGGCCGTATGTGATGGACATGGCGAAAGCCGGTACACGTGAGAGCGAAGTCCAGGTCGAAGCGCTCCTCTCCCACCTCGGCGAAGGCTACCCCTTCCCGACGAACCTGGACCGGCGGCCCCCCGGGCCGGGCGGCATGGCGCCCGAGAGCGAGGTCGAGGTGCTGCGGCGGGGGGTGCGGGAGGGGTGGGGGACTGCGGAGGTGGTGGCGCAGTTGGAGGGGATGAGGGAGGCGGGGAGGGCGTAGGGGGTGTGGTCTTCTTTTTAGTTGTGGACTTCCGTCCAGTCAGCTAGGTAGGTAGGGGTGGTATATTGTAGTTCGGACATAATTATACGCTTATGCATGCATTCATCCTGCGGTATCAGCATGTGCAAACCGGGTCCTGAATCCGTAGTCTCAATCACGACTTCCCCCGCGCAAACACTGAGCCAGCATCCAAAGGGTATGACATTAAACGCTAGCTGCCGCCGCATGAGAAAAAGAATACCTCCATCCCACCCCATCCCAAGCCCTACCCTACCCAAGCATTGCCCATTCGCACCCCTCCCCACCCCGCAGCCTCAAAAATTCTCAATCTGGGTGCCATAGCCCCTGCGGTCCGCCAGCCCAACCAACTCCCCCCCAACCACCACGTCCATCAGCCCCAGCCCCACACTCTTATAAATGACGTTCCCGCGCTCCAGCCAGTCGCGCAGCCCGCCATCATGCTGCTCGGAGCCCTTGGGCGTAGCAGCGCTATCATTGACCTCGACGCCAACACCGCTATCGCCGCTCTTATGCGAATGCGCCGACGCGACGCTCGCCCCGCTCGCCTGCCTGCGATGCTGCGTGCGCTGCCGCTCCTGCTCCAACCGCCGCTTCTCAGCATCGCGCTTGAGCATGACGAGCTCGCCCAGCTCAACGACCTCGTTGGCGTCCAGCCGCGCCTGCACGACCTCGCCCGCGTCGCGCAGACACGCCTCCAGGCTGTCGACGACGACGGCGCCCCCCTGCCGCGCGTGCTTGTGGTGGTGGTGCGAGTGGTGCGGCGCCACGGCCTGGCGTAGCACGTCGGGGTGCAGCTCGATCATCTGCGGCGTGAAGGAGCCGATGGCCGCGATGTAACGGCCCTTGCGCCGGCCTTGCACGCTCGTCAGGTATTCGGCTGGGAAGAGCGGCTCCAGCGACGGTGTGGTGAGGAAGATCGCCGCAGAGGCTCGCACCGTCGCTTTCAGGTACCGGTGGTACTCCGTGTGCTGCGGCGTCACGAGCTTGGTGTCGGGGCGATGCAGGCGCACTCCGCCGCCGCCGTCGCCGCCGCCGTCATGCTCTTCGCCCGCTCCTCGTCCTCCTCCTCCTCCCCACAGCCGGTCCAGCAGCACGCGCCCCGACTCAAACGACCGGTTGATGATGTTGAGGTACTTGATCGCGTCGCCGCGCAGCAGCAGCGCCAGCCGAATATGCCAGTACGCCTGCCGGCCGGCCCCAAACACCGTGATCTCGTGCACGTCGGCGCGCTTGCGGAACAGCATCGTCGACGCCAGCGCCGTGCGGAATGCCGTGATTTCCTCGGCGTTGATGAGCGCGCGCGGGAAGCCCTGCGCGTCCAGCAACGTCAGCGAGCCCCGCGGCGTCGCTTGCGCTGATCCGTTGTCTGCTGACATTGAGAGCGACGCGACCGACGAGGTCAGGTCTTCTGATGACCCGTTGTCGTTGTTGTCGCCGTTGTCGCCGCCTGGTTGCGCCAGCGTCACTATCTTCACCCCGAGCCCGTCGTTGCTGCTCGCGGGCATGAATAGTGTCATTGATCCATCTCGTCGCTTCAGGAATGTCCGCTGCGGCTGGTATGTCGAGCAGCACCCGTTCTCTGTGTCCGTCGCCGTGGAATAGTAGTGGAGCGCGTCGCCGAGTGATTGCTGGAGGTTAAGGATGTCCTGCTGTGTCAATGAGTGCAGGAGCCGTTTGACGTCAGCGTCCGAGAGTATTGTCAGCGGCATGGTGCCCAAACAATCTGTGTGAGGTGAGCGCAAAATAAGCGGAGGGGGTAGCAACAGTTCTTCAATTATTGTCCGTCAGCATTCCTCAGGTTACACGGCATCTGCGAATGGTTGGTTGGGGAGATGACGACGCGGCGGGGCACGGCGGGGCGTCTGTCTCTGGCTGGAAGCGGCGAGCAATCGCCGAAGCGTCTAGCCAACAACTCACAAAGTCGACAATCACATGTGAAGGCAGACAGATCATTCCATGTTGGGGGGCCAGTGGGCGCTTTGGTCATTGCGAAGTGCATGTTATTCACATTCCCGTCGGACTTCCGACCAACGCCCGCTAAAATTGAGCCGAAGACACGCCATTGACCCGTTAATCCATCATTTGTTTGGTATCGAAGAGAAGAGAAACTTTTGTCAGACCACTTAGATCTTGATGGCGCTCTCGATAGCCTTGCGCTTCTTCTCCTGCTTGGCGTTGGCCTTGGCACCCATGATACCACCACCCCAGTGACGGCGGGACTCCTCGTGCTTGTCGGTGTAGCCAGTCTTGATGGCGTCGACGAGCTTGGAGAACTCGGACTTGTCCTCGGAGCGGACCTCAGTGAGGGCGACGACAGCGGCGGTCTGAAAAAATTTATTAGTCGGTGCCAGACATTGACTGCGCTCGAAAAATATACCTTCTTGTGGACGACCGTGCCGAGGCGGGCCTTGCCCTTCACGATGGCGTAGGGGACACCCATCTTGCGGCAGAGGGCGGGAAGGAAGATGACCAGCTCAATGGGGTCAACATCGTTGGGGATGAGGACAAGGGAAGCCTTCTTGTTCTCAATCAGGCCAACAACGTGGTTGAGACCGTACTTGACGGCGTAGGGCTTCTTGGAGACATCCTCCTTCTTCTTGCCCTCGGCGATGGCGGTGGCCTCCTTGGTGAGACGCTCCTTCTTCTCGGCCTTGGTCTCAGGGCGGTACTTGTTGAGGAGCTTGAGGGCCTGGGCAGCGGTGTTGCGGTCCAGGACGTGCTGGAACTGAGCAATCGCAGGGGGGACCTTCAGGCGAAGGTTGAGGATCTTCTTCTGGCGCTGAAGGCGGACATACTCTGGCCACCTCACCATGCGGGAGAGGTTGCGCTTGGGCTGAATGTCCTGACCGATGCCATAGTTGCGGGGGCGCTTCTCGAGGAGAGGGTTCTGCGTGAAAATGTCAGCGAGGCGCTTTAGCTGAAGAATGGATGAGCAAACGTACCTTGGCGGCCTTCTTAGCACCAGCCTTGCCCGAGGCAAAGGGAGCAGGCGCGGTCTTCTTTCCCGACTTAGGAGGCTATCATTGAGAAAAGAATCAGCAACGGATTCTTGTATCTCTAAAGAGCATCACAGAAGGCATATTCCAGCGCTTCTAGCTCAAGCCAAATCATCGCCATCGTCAAACAGCTTTCGCTGCCGACGCGACGGAAATCCGCTGGGGCATGCGTCTTCAATCCTGGGGAACTGAAGGGCAGAGGCCTCGCAGCTTCGATGCTTTCACATCTAAACCTGGAAGCTTACCATTGTGATTGTCGTTTGGCGGTCGATGGACTTTTCGCGACGTCGTGGTTGAATCGAAAAAGATCGAGCAGGGCTGCGCGAAAGAAGTTTGTGGGTTTGGGTCGCTTTCGCGTAATTTCCGCCGTTGGGATTAGCGCGGCGTGTACTGCACGGACCATCAATGGCCGGGGTCTTGGACAACAGGACATCTATTCCTCAAACTTCCATCTCATCCGCTCGGAGACGCACCTCAATGTCTATAATACATCCCTAAATAATGTTTTCTACAGTTAGGAAGCATCATCAATTGTAGGCTTCCATGTTGAGGTAATGTACTTCCCCAGCCTATTTGCCATCAAGCACCTCAAGCAGCCTCCTCAGCCCTTCCCGAACAACTCTTTCATCATGACTAAACACGACACGGAATAGTCCTGGCTCCTCCGCAGATTGGCTTTCACCGGGAGAAACATTGAGTTTGTTGTCAAAGAATCTCTCCACCAGTTCCCGCTCTCTCTCCCATCCGGAAATCCTCTCTCCTTTGCCGTTTGTGTCCGGCAGCCATTTTCTTAAATCGATCCACATGAAGAACCCTGCATTCGATGCCTTGGAATAAGGGACTCCACGTTCATCTAGAATTTGACGTACCAAGGCATTCCGCGAAGCCAAGCGCTCGCAGCTCGTCTTTAAGAAGGATTCCATCCATTCCACGTCTTCGAGCATTTGCGCAGCAGTGAGGTCGTTGGCGATGCCGGACCAGTGGAACTGATTGATGGCGTTCAGGGCAGTTGCTAGTACCTCGTTGCGCACAAGTAGACAACCCAATCGCAGACCACCGCCTGCGAGGTCCTTGCTCATTCCATACATGACGTGGAGAAGATTGCGATCGATATACTTCTCGTAATCAAGGGAGAGCACCGAAACGAAAGGGACCGCAGATTCATCTGGGACTTCGTAGACAGAGGTCCCGTAGATCTCATCTGATATCATGTGGATTCGGTGCTTGTTGCAAAATTGCATCAAAGCAATGAGTGTGTCGACCGGATAGCATTGCCCCAGCGGATTGTGCGGGCTACAAAGCATCATGGCGCGAACCTTGATCCCAGAGCTGGATGCCTTCTTGAGTGCCTCTTCGAATTTATCGATGGCCGCCACCGAGAACTGGTCGACGCCATGAAAGGGGACGTGTACAAGCCTCACTCTAATTGAACAGCAGTCAGTATAAGATATTTAACTAGGAGTTTTGATCTTTACTTTGCTTTCGTTCCGAAGTCGATAGGGAAACCAGAATAGCTGGGTTGGGCTATGAGAATCCCATCCTCTTCGTCGAACATTGTATATCCAAGCATATCACAAAGAGAGGTGCATCCGTTCGTGAAATGGAGATGCATAGGGTCCACTGGCTCCCGTGGTTTGAAGTACCTGAAAAGTGTTAGCTTATGGGAGTCCAGACGGATCACCGAAACAAGCATACCTATTCATATGGTTCGCCATAGCGGTACGGAGACGCAAAGTGCCCATTGGACCCTCGCCATAGCTAAAGTCCTTGGCTTTGAAGTGCACCTTGACAACTGTCAATTCTAACGGAGTAGATCAGGACATTGGATCGCATACTGGGTGTTTATTCATGAAAGCAGCAACTTCCGGTAGCATAGCATGCTGTATTAGAATTTGGTTAGTGCCACCGAAGTCTTTATTAGGAGGGACGTCGATATAAGCATCATTTCCGTTCCATGGTGATGTCGTGGGCACGGGCTTTGAAGTACATCTCGGTAGTGGCCAGGCTGCAGTCGCACAAGTTCCCTCCTTCATTCACTTTTTCGCCGACATGGACAAGTGTGGGTACTGGTACAGTTGAATGCACTCAAGGATCCATGTGTCAGGTTCACGATGACCCACCTTCGAGGGAACCCGTTTGTTGCATCATAAGGTGTCAGAAGAGGTAGGTACAGTACATTCTCAGCTGTTCCAATGTCGATAAATCCTGATGGATTCGAATCAGGATCGTGTGGATCGGCCATGAACTTCTTAAACTTCTCCGCAAGGCTTGGTCCTTGGGCCAAGACGGCACCGCGTTGCGCAAGCGTCTCGATGCCAGAAGCCATGGGGGAAAGAAGGGTTGCCCAACGTTTGTACTGGGCTACGTCATTAAATTGATGAAAATCCTAAAAGGACGAAGGTCGACTTACGAGTATGAGAAGGTACGGCCGAAGAAAGACAGGTGCGGGAAGAAAACCAGCTGACGAGAAATACAAGAGAACGACAACGCAGGTTTGAGTCCAAGGTAAGCAGCGGGCGTCCAAGCCGACAATTCGCACCATACCTATCGGGCCAAATCGCGGCCCTTGAAATCCGGCATACCTTGCCCCTCAGCCCCAACGGGACTTCAAACCATCGTGTCCTTCAACCCACTGCTTACCTGGCCCTACTCACCAAGATCTGGGGTTTACATGGATGAAATTCTTCATCTTCTTAAATGAAATCTTTGAAGACATGTCCCACAGCGTCGGCCTCGGCGTGCAGTACTCTGAGGCCTCCCGGTTGTCATCCCCACCAACACAACTCCCCATCACTCGAATGCAGGCATCTTTATGAAATGGCCAGTATCAAGCGGAGGGGCTTCACGTCTTGCAACGATTGGAGTAGGTCACGTCATCTGTTGGTCACGTGGCCAGCTCTTATCGATCCGACGCCAGCGGGCGGTCAGCGGCGGCCTTGAATCGCTCGTGCGCGCCCCAGCCTTCGCTCATCACCCGCTCAATCTCTCCTTCGTGCGCTAGTTCCGCAGTCCCCTTCCGCTTGCTCTTCTCGCGATCGCAGACTCGTCAAGCCATTCCACTGCACGCTATGAGCTTTGCCTTGTAGTCAGCCCGCCTCCTCCCACGCTACGCCTCGGCCCTCAGAACCGCGACAGCGCGTCGACACAGCGAAGCGACGACGGCAAATCCATACCACAGCACCCACAATGAAGTCCTCCGCGATCCGGGAGTCGGCCGTCCCGTCCAACAGCTCAAACCGCCGTACCTCAGCTCGCCAGCAACGTACTGGGACATCGAGACCCACCAACTACTACGCCCGCACCTTTTCTGGGCGCGCGCCCATGGCCGACAATGCCTCTGCCAGCATGTCAACACCAGGCTTCTTCCCAGCCATCACACATTTCACCGACTCGATAAATGCCCTCCCAAAGGAGGTCATGAAGCATTTCTCCATGATGAGAGAAGTCGAAGCCAAAACCGACTCCGCCGACAGCGAACTCAAGGTCCTCTCAGAGAAGATCTCGGCGTTTCCCCCAATATCGAGACAACAGGCACGATTGATTGCACGGAGCGCGGCGAACAGCACGGGCAGCAACAGCCTCAATGGCAGCGTTGCTGGGTCGGTAGTGCACGGGCAGCAAGGCGCTGAACAATCAGAGAGCGGGAGCAATGGGCAGGCTACCGAGGAGGATTCTCAGCTCCAGCGGCGACAGGTCTTCTATCGTTACCGGTACAACCTCGCGCAAATGTGCGGGATGCTTGACGAGAAGAATGCCGTTCTCTCCAGTGCCAATCAGACAGTCGAGAAGCAGCTGGCGCGTATGGAGAGCTCCTACGTACACATCGATGAAGAGCTCAGCTACGAAGCGCGTTATGGAAGCACCACGCACTGGGCCTACAAGGATGGAGATGACAAGAACAAGAAAGCGCCCGCAAATGAAAGATCAAGGCGCGAAGTCGCTGCAGCCAACAACCTGGCGGCAGCTGCGGCAGCAGTGCATGAAGGGGACATAGCAGCAACTAGAGGCGACTCAAGGCGTGATGGGTTGCATACGAGACACAAGAATCGCAATCATTACGTCGACTCGGATTTTGACGACAGACCCACGAAGAAAGCGCCAGCAAGTCGAAGCAAGAAGACCACAGACATAACCCAGAGCGCCTTTTACGGACTTGGAATTACTCATACTCCTAATCAAGCAAGTAAGCGACGTAAAACGGAGAAGACTGCGACATCTGCGCCAGCGATGGAGCGCTCAATGAGTGGAGCCATCAAGGACGCTGCAGGCGGTCGAGCCAGCCCTCGGGAGACACCAGCGGCGGAGAGTAAGAAAAGGTCTCGTGCAGCACCGGCGCCAGCTCCTGCGAAGAAAAGGTACGATCCAATAACGTCGATGTTAGAGCGTGCTTGCAGTAGACTGACATTGCATGTAGAACACAAGCAGTTGGCCATCAGAGCCCCCACGTCCCTTCATCTCCTGTCATTGGCAACTTTGGTGTGCCGGGAGCTGCTGCCCAGCGTCCGATGACTTCCCGTGGACGCCAAAACTCGACGTCGAATTCCACCGCTTCCGTGCACCAAGAGCCCTCTCGCCAGCGACCACCCTCGTCCGCCTCGAACAGACCCATAAACGGTGTGATAAACAGTTGGGAAGCTGAGCCAGGAGCACCACACGGGGCAGTAGTTCCTGTCGCTCCGCCTGGTGTGACGGCTGAGTCCCCAGCGGTCTCAAACGGAAATTTGCCTGAGCGTACAATGAAGCGTGAGGAAACAGATGCTCATGAAGGCGCAGGAACGCCCTCGCAGACAGTCATAACTCGTGCCGGTCGTGCTTCCAAGACCGCGACGCCAGTAATTGGCAGTTTTCCCGAAGGCGCGCCCATGGCGCGTAGTCGCAGCACGCGTAACAATGGCAGCCACGCGTCTTCCGAGTCAAACGTTCCTCTTGTCACTCAACAACCGCAGAAAAGGTCTCACAAGAAGGGTGCATCGGCGTTGCAGCGCAGCGCGGCAAATCACGTCGATGACGGCAGCAGCCTAGCCGGAGATCTCTCGGGCCCAGATCTTGATGAGGAGGTTGTTGAAGAAGAGGACGATGGAGACCAAGAGCGCTTCTGCTATTGCAACGGCGTGAGCTATGGTGAGATGATTGGATGCGACAACCCGGATTGTGCGCGGCAATGGTTCCATTATGCGTGCGTGGGTATCACAAAGGAACCGAATAAGAAGGGTGAGTTTCCGCATCCTGAAAACATAAAGAACCACTCATATCTAACTTTAGACCAGCCAAGTGGTATTGCGAAGACTGCAAAGAGAACCTCAATCTCAAGAGAAGCCGCCCCGTCAGCAGGCAGTGAACGTTGTCTTGCAATATCACTCTTCAACTGTTCATTCTCGAAGCAATCTGCTCTGGACAAACAGCAAACCACGACACGTCTGTATATACGGCCTTGCAGTAGCATGCACACGATACGACCTTAAATTCTTCACTTGTACATCATAATTGTGAGCGGCGTTCTTCGGGCAGACTGGCGCGAGATCTCTTGATCCGCTAGAGCGGCGAACCCCCTCCGCACAAAAATCGCAGGCGTTGTTGCATCTCTGATTTTTTTCCACACGCCATAGCTTGGGCACTTTAATGGCGGCACTTAATGGAAACCATGTTTCGAGACGGATGACGCTCGAGGTGGATGGACTATACCCCCCCTAGCTCAGGATATCTCGCGCGCGCACGGCGTTTCATGACTTGAGAGTATCGGACTCCTTGTCTTTTGTTTTTCTTTCTTTTCTTTTTTCTTCTTTTTCATCTTGCTCTTTTTCTCTTTCTTTCTTTCTTTCTTTCTTTCTCTCCCTCTCTCTCTTCTCTGCTTGAGCATGTGCAAGGGCGAACTGGAACGGCATCATTTTGCTGTTTTTTCCTTTTACACTTTTTTTTTGCGGGGATTTCTCTGTTTTTCGTGGGTTGGGGTGAGGCGAGCTAGGTCCTCGGTGAGGGTTTCAGCAGCTAGACTCACGAATCGACAGATTTTTGAAATTATTTTCGCTCGTTTGGTGGTAGGCTGGGCTGGAGTGAGCTAGGCTGAGGCTGCGGGCTGGTGTCCAAGAGTGGGGGCAGTGCTGCTGGTGCCTACCTATGTGGTACGTATGAATCAATTGACTTGGACTTAGGCAACATGGATGCACGACAGGTGTCGTTGGGTTACCGGTCAAAGGTTCGTCAGTTTCGTGTTTGCGCAGAGAAAGGCTGAATGGAATCAGCCTTGTTTCCTGCCGCTTTCCATCTTACAATTACAGATACATAATGGATAAAATCGCTTCCATGCAGATCAGAGCCTTTCATAGGGTTCGACTAGGGATTTTGTTGCCCAACTCTGATAATTCCCCTCCGGTTGGCGACAGACGCCTCTGTTACCTCATTCACGAGACACAGGTACATACACGCAGTGCCTCGTGTAACAATCTGCCTCGTTGCCTTCTCTTTTGTCGTTCATCTGAAAGATTCCCACTGAGGACCTTTAGAGATGGCGTTTGGATAGTAGATCCCATTGTCTTTTGAGTGTCCTTGTGCATTAATAGTTTTGTATAAATCAATGTGTGTATTAATTTTTGTTGCGCAGAACACATTTTAAAAAAGCAAACTCTTGTGTAAGTATGCAGGACGGGTGTTCAGTGCGACATAACTATGATATATCAGTCCCATGATTCCCCTAGGCTTCAGTCATGCTCCTTCAGCCTGGTACCTCAACAACCATGGACCGCTCTGCATCCAGCAATCTCAATGTCCACAACCTCAACAATTTCGGAAGCTCAGAAGTGTCAATCGCGGGCTCCGTCGAGCCTCAGATCTCCAAGTTCAATAATTCCCAGGATGCTATTCAACTTCAAGAGCTTCTCCCCGGAGAGCAAAGCCCATCGCCAAGGTAAGTGTTTATTGAGATGAAAAGTGAACCCTCACTGATATCGTCATTTCATGTAGAACTTCAAAAGTAAAGACTGCATGGAAGAGCAGCCTGGAAAGATCCCGCTCCGGGCTCACCATCTTTCTTCGTAACGTACGGTTACTTGCTCTCCCAGTTGTCGGCTCCTGGACGAGAAAAGTGGAAAAACCAAAGATCGCTATACACAAGAGTCGGTTTATTGCACTACTAGGGTTGGCCGTTCATGTCATCCCGTTGGCGAATGCGTTGACTCTTATCATCTTGAACTTTGTGACACTCTATGTTGGAACGGATGTGGCAACTACCGCTCTACAGTTCCTAGCCAAGTTCTTGGAACTCCTTACCCAGGCATCTATCAGCAACGCTTTTCTGGTCTACCTCCGCCATGGGTTAATCGGGGATGGCCCTCTTCCTTTCGGGGCGCTTTTTGCCGGTTTACAGATTACGAGTGTCAGCTACCTTTGGTCCTTGGAGTTCCTCGGATCTGTTACTTCCAAGCACATCAGAGTTCCTCGCAAATTATTGTTCGTATTATTAGTTACGTTCAACATCCTCCTTGCTGCTGGAGTCGGTCCATCTATTGCTATCGCTCTCATTCCAAGAAGACAAATGTACCCTGCGGGTATGACTTACATCTGGCTCAACGATACAGAGAATGCGGAGTGGTTATTCTCCAGTCGGATGACCAGTGCAAATATTCCTTCCAAGTGTTATGAACGCACAATAGAAGTTGCAGAAGATTATATGTGTCCTTATACCGGATGGCAGTTTCTATCGGAGTTTTCGTCGAACAAAAACCCCGGCACTGGTATATTGAGATTCAAATATCTTATAGGTGGACTAAATCTGGCCTTGTCTAAAATCATCGATTATACTGTAATACCGGAACAAAGGGCGGCATATACGTCTGATATAATGGCCGGACCTAGTTTCACAGTTCCCCCAATGAGTATGGTCTGGTTAACTCAGGTTCTCCAATATCTATGGAACGATGGCACACAGCGTCCTAGTAAAACCCTTGAACAGAATTATGGCGTCAAATCTACCACACTAGCGAAACAGCCTATCGTTTGGGCGTACTGCGTCTTCACGAGTTGGCCCGTGGAAAATGTTATCCATGTCCCTGACATCGATTACGATTATCACAGAAACCGTACGTTGTCTTCACCGGACCTTGATAATTTATCTCCAAATAGTTCTTCCTCGCAAATTGTATGGATTGAAACAGGGAGCTCCGTCCATATGTCAATTGCTGCCGTTATTTTCAGACCTCGGACTGGAATACTTGCTTGTCCTATCATGGCACGTTGGCATAATAGCGCAATTATTTTAAACAGCACCTCGGGCGAAACTTCCGCTATGACAGGAGATGTTACCTATTTGTCGGATGACTCTTTCTCGAACACTGTCAAGCTCACCAAGGAATGGGCGGGGCTCCTCCTACCAACTCTGAATAACGGGACTGTTTCTGTTTTAGATGCAATTTGGGACGAATATGATTCGCCAGGAATCCCCCTGGCCTCTATGATCACTGTTGCTTTATCACACGGAGGTCATAGTATTGAATCTATCACCAGAGACGCGGTAATTCATAGAGAAGAAGAGTCTTGGCCTGGCCCCGACTACTGTCCAATCTGGCACCCGCAGCCTGACGGCTGGGCGGATTCTTGGTTGACCGGCAAAACCCATAACATATTTAACGCCAAACTACCAGAAACTGAAGGGAAGTACCGCATAGCAAACGAATATTTTGTTGACGGACTCGCCTACACCATGGAGGGTTTCCCCAAGAAGTTCGCCATCGCCATTCTCATCACCTACTGCATCTACATCACCACCTTTATCATTTATATCCTCGCCTTCTCTGGCATCCAGTCTAGCGCATGGGACTCCATCTCCGAAATGACGTCCCTGGCCATGCTTTCCAAGCCACCAAAGGAGAAGCTCCGCAACACCAGCGCCGGAATCGAGACCGTCGAGCTATTCAAGGAGCCTGTCAACATCCGCGAAGTGGACAATCATTTGGAGATTGTATTCCAAAACGATAAAGATGGGAGAGCAATGGGCAAAGTGGAGTTCAACAAGAAGTATTGAACGAAGAGCGGTTTGGAGCGTTATGGCCAATTTGTCTAGTTTGTGTGAGCCTTTTTATTCGGCTGGCGTGGTTGGGTCATCTATATGTTAAGATTAGTTTGGGTTACTCCTTGCTCGTGGATAGTTTTGCTCGTTTTGATGCTCAGGCATTCTAGATATATTTAGTAAGTTTTAAGCATTATTATCAATGCCTATGCCATTGATATTGGGTGTCGTAACTGTTAAGGCAAAGAAAGCCTGTACAGTGGATAGCAGGAACTGCTTACCTTAGTATAAATAAACATGTGTGTGCAAATGAAATATGCTTGAATGATAAGATGTATTTACACAGTAAGAGTGATCCTCAAATTAATGAAGTGAGTTGGAGATTGTCTATTCTAGTCTCGACAGTTACTTACGGTTTTCCAACTTCTCGAGCTCTATGGGCAGACATGTACCAGGATGGCTGTGGAGGATCTTGAAAAGCGCTTATAGATGGCTATAGGGACTGCACGCTCGGTTTTGGGCTGCGATGACCTGGAAATGGCCGATCTAGGTGAGTTTGGGATCCTTTTCGGCGTAGAACCGCTGCTGAAGCACTATATTAAGCATGCTTTGGATCGCTGAAAGACGTTAGTGAGCAACGCTATGGCTAGCTGGTGAGAGTTGTGTTTGCGGGTTGGTGATGGTACGAGGTGTCAGTGCCTCTGCCCTTCTTCAAGCGGATCCAGAGTCCAACACTAGCAGCCCATTGCTCAAGGAACGCATGGGACCAGAGACAACCGCACGGTAAAGACGGATCCTCGCCATGAACAAGGAAAATCGTGTTCCTGTTCTCGCCAGTCTCTTGGTCGGTGGTAGGCTTGGGTGTCCTACGCATGTTCTACATGCGCATTGGCATTCTTGTTATGCGATGTCTTGTTTCCCCAAAGGTAGCTACATGCCTATGCTGACCCCTTGAGTGTCCAGCGGCAATATGTGTGATATAATTATGTTCTCGACAATGTCGAGCCCTTTTCTGCTGTTCTGGTCGTATGATAGGTACGGAGTTTATGGTTTCTACTACACTGAGTGACAGTGAGGACCGGAAACGTGTGAGTGAATATTTATTGGCGAATTATGTGTACTTAGGAGTGTTGTAGTTATATTCTAGGTTCCGGCGAAACTAGGCAAGAAAATGCTTGTAAGGATACTGATTTCCTTCGTGGAGGTTAAAAGACCTTATTTAAGGTATAGTGTCTCGGAGCTTGAACTGAAGTCTTGAACTCATGTCTCATTAGTGTTGCTCTTCATATATCCTCGACTGACCGCACTCGATACTAAGGAGTTGCAGTATGGAAGAGGCTAAATAAGAAGCCAAAAAGGGGACTGCCAAGAAGAAATGGTCGAAGGTTGGGTTCAAATGGAGGGGGTGCCGAACGAGATCATAGATTATTTCCAGCAACTGTTCGGTTCGTCCTCGAGAGGCCTTCTTGCGGAAAACCCCAGCGCACCAAGCTGGCGGACGGGAGGCACGACCGATGGATTCCCCCTACTGTCTTTCCGGTGTTGTTATTTTGCTGCTGGATAAGCTGGTTTCTCTCTATAATGGTTACACACTATATGGTGATAATAATCACTGCCACTTTTCGACATCGGTGCGGAGTATCATGGTGTCGAAATTATAGCTAGCATTGTTTAATAAAAGAGCCATCTCTTATAATAAATAAAACATTCTACCGGAAAGTAAGCTTGATTAAGATTAAAGATTACAGATCCGCAATACGCAGCAAGTAAGAGAATCCAGATAAGGGTATTACCACGGGCAAGTGGCATGCCGTTTACTTAGTTAAACAAAGAAAGAAAAGAATCGTCTTCGTTTATCTATACACAAACTACCTAGCAACTCAACTCATATCTTATATTTCTAGATGTTTAGGGAGACTCTGCATCATCTCCTTAACTCTGACTTCCCTCACTACTCCCCATGGGAGAGGGACCTGTCATCTTGCGAGCACAATGGGGCGAAATCCTCCAGGAGCAAACTCAGAACATGGGGGCCACAGCCGCACCACTGAGCTCTTGTGACTTCTCGTGAAGGCGAAATTGCATACACGAAGTTGAAACCAGTGTAGGGATGCCTTAGCTGCGCCCCCAACCAACAACAATATGCGGAAGAGATCCTCGTCGTATATAGAGTGCTCTTTACCTCCTCCTACCACTCTCTGTAGAAAACAACCACCACACACAGACCCACACACAGCTTCCTGCAATACAATCATTTTCCCTCATCATAGCACCCAAAACCACACCACGACAAACCGCTATGCTCAGCACGCCACTCCTCACTCTCGCCACCCTCGGCGCCGTTCTCTCCACCACCGCCCTCGCGGCGCCCAGCCCGAACCCCGACGCGTCCGATCTCACGCGCCGCGACATCCAACCCATTCCAGAGGGAAAGACCTGGTCAGTGTCGTATGAGTGCGACAGCACGAACGTGGACGCCTCGGGTACAACGGCGGATATGGATTCCGGATGCAAGAAAATTGATGGCGGGGCGCCTGAGATACAGATGAACTATGATACGAAGTCGTACTATCAGATATCGATGCATATGTACGTTAATGATGGTAAGTCTTGCTTCCCTTCTCTCTCACTCTCTCTTTTTTGGACATGTAACTTTCGTTTTTGATATAACACGTGCTTAGTTGGTGTCGGAATTGGAAATGGACCACGTGCTAACTAAACGCTAGATTGCACGGAGCAAGACTACGGCTGGTGGGGTAACCTCTGGCACCACAACAGTAGAGGCCATAGAGTGCAGTCCTCGGAAGGCTTATGCATGAAGGCAGTGGGGTCAGTGAAGGGCGATTCGGACGATACGAAATGGGGGTCTTATAAGTTCACGTATGCGCTCGTAAAAAGCTAATCGGGGGGTATGGTACTGTTCTTTTATAGGAGTTTGGTGTTGGGAGAAGGAGAGGCGGTTAGGTCGGCGGAGGAGAAATTCTAACACACTACCCGGAGATACCAAATCACTAACTTTGTTAAGACAGCTTGCACAGACTTATATTCTGTATTCATTTGTATGTGGAAATCTATTGTATTACTATATGTCAGCTATACACTCTGTGCAAAAACTCACTGACGCTGTGTTGGGCGTTTAGAGAATCACTGAAGTATACGACTTTCCAGACAGTGTCTCACGGCAGCGGAATTTTAGCCCCCCCAAATCGCAATTTTTAACCCCCCCATACTTGCCTCGCTGTTAAAGCGCGTTAGGTAGTGTATCCTACTACTCCTAAAGGTAATATTACTATATTCCTCTATCCTATTATAGTTCTCGCTAACCTTACTACTACTACTAATAATAGTTAGTAACTACTACTACTATTACTATTTCTTAGCCCGTAGGCATGTAGTGGCAGTAGCTAGCATATAGAGTTATATAGAGGCGTATAGGGTATATAGCGTAGGTAATAGGGCGCGAAGTTATTATACGAATATCGCGAAGTTACTTTCTACCTAATACTTTACCTAATTAGGTACGCATATAAGGGGGAGGCTAAAATTCCGCTGCCGTGTCTCACAGGTTGTAGCCCTCATTGTAAGTATGTATGCATTAGTTGCGTATAATCCAGCCGGTTCCTTAAAGAGTATCCCAGAGTAGCTACAGTAATACCATAGGCGGAGAGCAATCAGTACCTGAACATGGATAGACTCCTCTCCCCCTCCAACACTTCAAAGCAGCGGGAGCCGCCTCCCAGCGAACCGATGCGCATTCGACAAAACGCACCAACCGATCTATGCAAACAAAAAGCTGTACACAGATGTCCCGTGAAGAGTAAGGGCAAAATAATCAAAAGAACGACAGATCCCAAAGCAACAAAGCCATCAAACCCTCAACTCCACCCACCACAACCCCACAATCAACACCAACCGTATATACAAGTACAACGCAGCAGTAAACCCCGCATAAAAAGCTACCCAACCCAAGCTACCCTCCGAATCCTTGCCCTCTTCAGCATCGCAGCTAACAACAAAAAACCACAAATCTCCATCATCCACAACACGCTGCAATCTACGTCGACACCAGGACTGCAGGCGGCGTCATCCAACTAAAGGTTGGCCTGGTTCAAGTCACAGAAGATTCATCCAGTAGCATTCTAATTTTCTACCAGACCTTTCTAGCAGTTACCTCCATAATCTTCGATATCCTCCAACATCATCACGCCATGGATTTGGAAACCCGGAAGAGACAGATAATCTCTTCAGAGCACGTTACGAAAGAGGTTTCAGCCCGTCCAGACACATAGCACCGCGACACAGAATTTGGGCGACCCTACTATTGACAGAGTCCCTCCTGCTGGTACCCTTGGCACCATCGTCATCACCTATCAATAACGCCCTCTACCATCTACCGACACTGCCGTAGACTATTTGTAGAACAAACTCCCCGCAACAAAATCGAAGTGCTAAACTTCTACTCCGTGGCGAAGGGTTTTTGAGTCTTGAGTTAGCTTATCCCCCTACCATGACAGCTATGACCTTTGGATCTCAAATTGGTTGCAGCAATTTCAGAACTGCTTGGATGTTCTTCTACCGGTGCTGATAGTTGAGTAATTATAGAGGGGTGAGAGCGGGGCAGGCAGCAGTGGGTGCCTGTGCGTGCGGTTAGTATAGCTTGTGAGGATATAGCTGTGAGGAGTCAGTGGCTAAGAAAGCGTGAAATGAATGATCTAACAAATAGAATGTACAAAAAAGAAAAGCGAACAAGCAGTTCAAGTAACCACACACGCACCAAACCACACCACCACACCCCTCCACCAGCGAACCCGCACCACCCCACCAACCTCCCAAACAAACACCCCGCCCACCCTTACCCCATCAGAACCCACCAACACGGAACACTCCAGCCACAACGACATTGTGAATGCGGGAACACTCGGGGATCCCCCACCCCATACCCATCCAACACGGCCACAGCAAACCCCACTAACCAACTGAATATTTCTTCTCATGGTGGAGAAGCCAATGCGCCTTATATGTGGCTGATCTGCGCCGTTTTTACGTGTAGACGATGGCCATCGCCACTACAAGCTGATACTTATTAGTATAGTCGTTGCTGAAGGTGGTGCGTTTGGCGCGTTTGCTGTTGTTGGCGCTGGCGTTGGGGGTGGTGGTGGTATGGTGTGGGAGAGAGGCCCGGTCCATTCGTTGCCCTCCAATGTGAGGAATGCCCCCAAGACTGGATTTGGACCGGTTCTTTGCTATGGATGGAGACGAAGAGGGGCGGTGGTCTTTTTATGTGGGCGTTTTTGACGCGCTTACCTACCTAGCCAGGTAGGGCAGCGCGCTGCTTCTGCTTTGAGGAAAGTAGTACTCCGACATAGCTCCCCGTAAGCCATATCTCAGCGTTGACCTGATCCCCCGCTCTTTCACAACTCAGCACTGTGCAAACCACAAACGCCACCCCGCTATACCGAGGCGTTAATCAAGTCTTCTATACTCTATCCAGCCTCTAGGCCTACATATATGCTTGCCGCTCTATACTATACATCCACGTTACACGTACTCGCTCTGGGTATGATGCTCTGCTCTTCTGTCCAACTGCCCCAACGCTCTTGGGCCCAATACCCTGCTACCTCTCGTTCTTCTGCACACCTCCCTCTCCCGCTCCTATGCTGTTGCTCCGGCTGCTCCTTTGTCATGAATCTATGTCCGTACAATGTTGACAATATCGTTGCTGTCCGCTGCGCACTGCTGCCTCCTGTATGCTCCTCGGCACACATGCGCTAGATGTCCACTCCTGGCGCAGCGCCTTGGCAGGTATCCTACGCGCCGGGCGTGTGCGCGCAGAAGGAGCGTCGTCCTGATCTCCGGGTAGGTAAGTTTCTCGAACCAGCAGCCGCGGTCGGGTCGTCATCTCAAACAGAAGCCGGCCAACTCTTCATCCGTCTTCCATCCGCGCAGATAGTGCAATGCAGCTCGAAACAGCGAGAGGATCCTGCTCCCGCTCCACGGCTCCGCTCCGCTCAGCGCGCTCTACTCTACTACATCCACTTGGCGGCGTTGTTTGGGACCAGCTTTGCGAACAGGCGCAGCTGGTTCTCGTGCGCGCGCTTCCGGATGTCCGTGACGACGGGGCGGGTCTGCGCCGTGTAGTTTAGTCTGCGCTGGTTGTTGCCGTACAGGACCGAAAAGTCTGGCAGGTCGGAGCCCGGGGGCAGCGCGCAGCGCGGCGTGATCTGGCACCACTGTTGCAAAAGACACGCAGGTTAGCACACGCATCCACACACAAACACCTTCTTCTGTGTTGCTGCTGCTGCTGCTGCTGCTGCTGCTGTGATGTGGTGTAGAAAACTCACCCTTCCAACCGCGCTCCCAACCCCCACCCTCCCCTCCACGCCCACCACCGCGCCCTCACCCACCAACGCCGCCTCAACAACTGCGCCGCTCTCCACAACAACATTCCGATCGAGCACGACGCCGCGGCCGGACTCTGCCTCGCCGTCCCCCTCGATCCCCACAACCGCCTTCTCGTAAATAATGCACCCCTCGCCGATGACGACCGGCCCGTGCACCGACGTCACCTTGCAGTGCGGGTGCAGCACCGCGCCCGCCGAGATGGTGATCGCGTGGTGCCCGGTCAGGACGGCGTGGTTGGCGACGGTCGCCGCGGGGTGGATGGACGCGGGCGCTTTCGGCAGCGTCGAGATGCGCTTCGAGTGCGTGGGGCGGTGGCCGGGCGTGCGGGGGGTGGGGGGTTGTAGGTCTGCCATGCTTGCTTGCTTGCTTGCGTTGGTGGTTGTGGTTGTGGTTGTGGTTGTCGTTGTTGGCGTTGCTGTTTGTTGTCGGTGTCGGCGGGCGTGCTGGCACTCCCGGCGGTGTGGAGACGCGCCGTTGACACGCGCGCGCCCACGTGATCGGCCACGACTTCCTGCGCGCGCGCCCCTATCAACTCCACGACCACCACCTCCACCTCCACCTCCACCTCCATTCAGCACACACGCACACGCACACGCACATGCACACGCACATGCACACGCACCCTCCCCCCCATCCTGCTCGCACCTAGACACTCGCGCCTACTCCCATCATCCTCCCATACCAAACACCTGCGCCACACCCCCCCATCCCCCCGTTTGATCACCGTCACTCTCTACGTATTGTACAACAGCAGCCCAGCGCAAACCGCAAACCGTAAACCTCAACCCCAACACACACACCATCCTACCCAAACCCATGCAGCACGCGCGCGCGAAACCAAACCAAACCGCAAGCTGAAACGGCGCTCCCTCCCCGTAAGTCCGAGATTGAGCTCGTTGAGGCGTCGTCAAACGCGAGCGCATCCCGGCGCTATAGCAGCGCAGGGCCGCCGCCGCGAAGTGAGGACCGTGAAGTTAAAAACGCCTGGGCCCTGAGGGTCCGGGGCGCGGTCCGGGTCCGGGTCTGGGTTCTGGGGCCGGTGCGTGCGGCCTGGCGGGTTTTTCATGCATTGCTGTGCGCTGTGCAGACGCCAAACATCCAACCGACCAGCCGCAAAACGCCTGTCGGAGCTGTAGGTTAGGTACCGTACGTACATACGTAAGGCCAACCGGCCAGCCAGCCAGGCTGCCTGCTCCCACGCTCCTAGTTCCCCCTCAACACACACACCCCCAAACCTCCCCAAACGAACGCCAACGCCCTCCTCGCTTTCGGGCCCTCACTCGGTCCCAACATCGGCTATTAATAGCCCTGAACTATAGTATAGGTAGGTATCGCTCGGAAACTAACCCTCCACCAGCCGACATCCCAGCCAGCTATCCGACATCCCTCCAGCTAGCTAGCCGACATCCCTGAGCTACCCGTACCCACTACCCACTACCTACTGTGGGTAGTAAGACGCCGGCGGCCGCGGTCGGGGTAGCGTGTATGTAGTGTGTAGGTAGTGTGGATCGCGCCATACCTAGGGTCTGCGCTAGATACCCACTCTGCTACGCACGACTACGGCTACGGAGTAAGACTACGCACGACTAGGTCTACCGAGTAAAACTACGACTAAGACCAAGCAAGACATCCAGTTTCAGCCCGTTTCCTCCGCTTCTGCGGCTCCGTTCCACGTTGCGTGCATTGGTTGTGGCGTGTTTGGATGAGCGAGTGCTACACTGCCCCGCTAGGTAGCGTTTCATACCTATGTCTGTATGTACCTACGGATACCTACCTCTCTACCAGTCAGTCAGTCAGTCAGTCAGTCAGTCAGTCAGTCATGCAGTCAGCCAGCCAGTCAGCCAGTCAGTCAGCCAGTCATGCAAACAACGATAGACCTACCTAGCTACGCAGAACGACACAAACGCGAACAACAATACTACTACTACCAACAAACAAACGAACTATCTAGCTAAGAAAAGCCACCAACCAACCAAGCAACCAGCTCAACGTCCAAAAGAAGCAAAAGCAAAAGCAAAAGCAAAAACAGAAGAAGCGCAGCGCAGGGCAAAGGGGATGGATTATAAATACATGTACATAGCAAACCAATCAAGCCACTAGAACTAAAACAGGCCAAGCAAGCGCTTTAAAGCTAAAGTAAAGCAAAGTAAAGCAAAGCAAAGCACGCAGCATGCCGAAAAGGTGTCCATGTGTTCATTCATGATCACCGCCTCCACAACAACAACCGCAACAACCGCAATCATGAAGCAAGAAGCAAAGCAGAAGCAAAGCAGAAGCAAAGCCAACATCAAACCAAACCAGTCAAAAGCCGCCGCCACCACTGCCCTCTTCCATCCAGCTCAGTCATAAGCCAAGCAAGCAGTAGAAGCAATCAGTCGTTCCCCCAGTCTCCATCACCATCACCACGCAACATGAAGCTTAAAACAACACCAAGCCAAGCCGCGTATCAGTGAAACCAAACCGAACCGACCACATAAGCCAAAAGCCAAAAGCCAAAAGCCAAAAGCCAAAAGCCAAAAAAAAAAAAAAAAAAGCCCTGCCAAAGAAAAAAACGCCGTCGCTGGATGCGATGTATGCAAAAAGGCCTATAGTAAGTAAGTAGGTAGGCAGCTAGGTACTAGTAGTAATAGAGATAGGAAATATGCTTTAAGAGATAGAGATAGAGAGATATATGCCAGAGGAAATAGAAAATGTTGTTTTGTCTGCGCATGACGTAGGTATTTTGTATGGCGAAAAAAGGATGTCCAAGACAAGTAAGTAGTACGGGGATATAAAGGATAAGAGATACAGTTGCATGTAGTTGTAAGGTAGGTGGGTAGGGAGAGAGAGGTAGGGATAAATGGCAATTGTGCTTTCAATAGCAACAACAACAACAACAACAACAACAATATTTACAAAGCAGCAAACAAACAACTCGCACCGGGAGCGGCGTTTCGTTTCGTTTCGTTTAGAAAACGCCGCCTCCCAAACTACCCCACGCAGCCAAGACGTCCTCACTAACACTGCTGCGCGTAGCAACATCGATGCCAGGCGCCGCGAGCCCGCTGTTGCGGCTCACGCTGCTCCGACGGCTGCCAGCGCTAACGGCGCGGTTCTGGCTCTGGCTCTGGCGCGGCGCCTTCGCGACCGGGTGGTTGTTGCCCGTGGCATTGGTGCTGACGCTGCTGATGCTCGTGCGCGCGCTGCGGGCGCCGCCGGGCGGCAGCATGTGCGTCGTCTGCTGTGGCGGCGGCGACGACAGCAGCGCCGACGAGCTGCGTGCGCGCCGCACCTTCTCGATGACGACGCTGGCGTCCGTCTCGCCCCACGCGGGGAGGCTGTGCTCGCCGTCAATACGGTCCGACGCAGCTGAGGGGATGTCGCGGTGGTGGTCGCGCGCCGAGTCGTGGCTGCGGCGGTCGCGGTGCTGCGGCTGGACCGTCGGCACTGGCGGGATGGCCTTGGTTGGTGGCGGTGCAGGGGGCGAGCGTGGTGCGGGTGGGAGAGGTGGCAGCGGAGGCATGGTAGAGGGAGAGGGCACTGGCGGCGGCACTGAGAAGTCCATGCCTGCGTCGCTGGAAGCGGTGCGACGGCGGCTGTGGCTGGACTCGCGGCGCTGTTGCCGCTGCTGGTGCTGCCTCTGCTGGTATTGGTGCTCTTGCTGGTGGTGCTGCTGGTACTGCTGCTGGTGGTGCGCGTGGTGAAGGTACTTCTTACCAGCTGAGACATGGACCCCGTTCTGTCCATGCTGTCCAGGCAGCGGGAACACAGCTTCGACGTCCGCGCCGTTGCCACCAAAGCTCGACTCGCTGCCGCCGCCAACCGAGCTACCAGCCACCTTGACACCAACGAGGTCGCCCTCGGCGCCAGGGCCGGGCGTGACGGGGCTAGGGAGCGTATCCGTGTGCGAGGCGGTAGCGGGGTATGCGGGCGAGTCGGGCGGGCTGGGAAAGACGTCGAGCGGGGAAAACATGGCGGGGGAGAGTTGCGGAGGGCGCGAGATACGCGTGTTGTTTCGAGAGTTGCGGCCTGTCGCATTGGTCGCGGCGCCGTCTTGTGGGTGTGAGGTGTAAGAGGGTGGCGAGGAGACCGAGTCCGACTTGTTGTCCGTCGCGTCCGAGGCGGTGGACTGCCGATTGCGTCTGTAGTAAGAGTTGACGAGAGTTTCGGTGGTCGTGGGTGGGTCCTCTTCCCACTGCGTTGGGTAAGAGTGAGGAGGAGAGAGGGCCTTCTTGGACTGCTTTCTCTCTTGCTCTTTTTCAGAGGGCTGGGGCGAGGAGGTGTTGGAGCGATATTGCTCCGCCTTGACGGCACTCCGATAGCCTTCCGCGTAGCTGTGCTTGGCCATCGCCGCGCGCTTTCTGCGCATAAGCTCCAGCAGCACCTCTTCCTCTTCTGTGACTGCCATGAGCTTATGGCCGAGCTGCGACCTCGGTTCGCTCTTGGATGTCCTGTTGCTTCTAATGCTGTTGGTGTCGTGATCATTATAGTCCGAACCATTGCCAAAGCTACCCGCGCGGCTTCTGCCTCCATTCTCGTCATCGTAGTCATCCTCCGGAATGGCAGAAACCTGCCGAGAATGCCGGGGTTTCCGGCCAGACCGGGAATGCCTTGGCAACATGAGTTGGCTCGATCGCGCGGTTGGGGAAAGCATCACGTCGATAGTGGCGGCAGTCGTAGAGGTCCGCACGCTCGAATCGGACATGTTGGTCATGCGTTTCCGGTCCGCAAGGCGCTCTTGCAGGGGCTTAAGCTCGAACGCTTGGGCTTTGCCAATAAGGATCTCGCCGACCGTCTCCGTGGACATGGCCAGACTATCGCGAATCTCGGGAAGATCCGAGGTTGGACTGTCGCTCTCGTCTTCTGACGAAGAGAGCGAGAGAACGCTTGCACCGTGTTTGTGCGCAGAAGCGATCTTGTTTTTCTTGCCTGCATTTGCCTGCTTCGAATTCCTAACCGGGTTAAAGGGCGGGGGGACCTGGTCTGGCTCGTTTGGAGAGTAGATCTGGTCAGAGGCGCGCGTGGTCAGGCTGAAGTGCGATCTCTCGTTGTAATCCACATGTGGTGGAGGCGGTAGCGGCCAGGCATTTGCCGGTATTGGCTGCTCAGATGATTTTCTGCCTGCATTCGACGGTTGTCGTTCATGACCGTAGGTTTCGGGCTCTCTCCGCTGCGCAAACACTTCCTTTGCTCTCGCCCAATCCCTCTCAGCTCCTCTTGGTGGTTCTCGTTCCTCCTCCGCTTCATCACTGTCGTCACTCAGACCTTCGAACCAGTGCTGAATTCCGGCAGGCGGTCGTCGAATGTTAACTTTTGCGTTGTCGTAGTTTTCGGGCTGGGACTTGTCCTTTTGGGAAGACGCTACAGAGCGATTATCGCGGAAGGTATCCCCAGTTTTGGTGCTGCTAAAAGACGGCGCCCTCCGCTCCGAGTGTTCATCGGGGGATAGTGATTGGGGATAATGCTGCGAGGAGCTAAAAGGGGAGCAGGTAAGCTAACGAACAAGGATGGGGAAAGCAGGACGTTGTCATACTTTGCCTTTGGTGCTTTTGGGAAGAGCTTGGACAAGTCTAGCCGCGCTGGCTTCTTCTTTCGGCTTGACTTTCCAGATTCGTTGTCGTACTCTTCGTATGTGGAACTGTGCGTGCTGATTTGATCGACGCTCGTCGTGCTCTGATGTAGGGGCGTGTGACCCCTACGCAGACCGCCGTCCCGCATGGCGGATGCCGACGTCTGCTGTGATACCGGCAACGGTGGCCTTCTAGGATCGTAGTGGGACTGCAGGGTGGTAGACGACTTTTGCGAATGCAGTGTCTTGCTGTAGCCTGTGCTGCTAACGGAACCAGAACGGCCATCGCCGTCAGCTTCGTCGGCTCCAGCGCTGGGCCCCAGGACGTTCGAGGACGGGCGATGGTAGAGGGTGTGCGACTGCCAACGCGGTGGTACGAGGTCGTCGGCGGAGGTCGCCGATCCCTTGCGTCTCTCAGGCAGCGAGAGACTGCTCATATAGGTTTGCTTGGTGTCCAACAAGGCGTGCGGGGCAGACAGGTACGGGTTTCCCACTGCTACTGAAGCGGCAGATCCAGTGTGGCGCCCAGGCAGACCGGTGCCCAGGAGCCTCTCTGCCTTGGAGGGTTGTGAGGAGACATCGTCGGATCGGACGGAGTAGGCCGGGGTCGCGAGTCTCTCGGGCTCCTTGTCCTTGTCGGCGCGGTGGCGGCGGTGGTGGAGGTGGAAGGAAAACTTGGAGGGAGCCATGGCGAAAGCGAGCGTCGTCGGAAAGAGAGGAAAGCGGCGGACGGAGGAGGAAAGGCAGGCAATTTAGACTCTGGCGCGGGTTTCAGCATCCATGGACGGGCAGGAGGTCGGGCTTGACGCAGCACTACCTAAACATTTTCGCATGCAGGCTCTCCAAGAGGATTGAGCGCGCGGGGGAAGGGTGGAAGGGCAGCGGGCGCGTCTTCTGGAACAGTGACACGCGGCGCAGGAGTGGAGACGATCAGGAAGGACAGGCGCGCATGCTGCCTGGATATGTCTCGCCGGTCAATGATTGACGGAGAGGGCGCAGTTGAGAGTCCCGGCGATGGGGGTGCGTCGGGAAGCAAAGGCGAAGCTATGCCATGACGGCTGATTGCGCGGGCGACTGATCTGCGCCGGCACACGAGCTTCGCCGCGCCGCCGGATGAAATTCTCAGGGGCAATAGGCAGCGCTGAATTGACATCCCTGCCGCGAGATCGCCGCCCTGCTATTGCCTGCGCCCTTGTCCCACGTTACGCCTGTCCCTTGCCTGACGATCATGGCGCCGGTTTCATCTACCCACGCCGGCGGGAAACGGTTCATGCGTTCGTTGTGATCCGTGATCCACCGTGTCCAGGCAGTCGTCAAACCCCAAGGCCCCAAGGCCACCTCTGCCATCCTCCCAAATCCCGGGCTAACACCAGAGACTACTGCAAAAGGGCGAACGATAGGGGTGGCACTATTGCTTGCGGGCTGGCTGGACTGTCAATGGCTTGCCCGAGAGGCCCGTCAGCCGCCGAGGGACCAAGCGAGCGCGGGGTGGTGCCATGCTACGAGAGGACCGTGTGTTTGATTTTGGGGACAACGTCAAATAGATTGAGCTGATGGACAGATCCGCTGCTTGATTGATTGTGTGCTGGACATGTCTCTGAGCCTACTCTGCTCGCCAATCACTCACACGCCGGACCCGGTTTTGTTTCATAGCTTCTTTGGACCTCATCGCTCACACGCCGACACCTAAACAAACATGCTTGCCTTGCCCGCCGCATGCACGCACGTCCGCCCGTGTCGGACGGGAAGGAAGATGCCCAGGCCCCTATCTTGCCATTGTGCCTTGGACTTGTGCACTAAAGCAGATGAGCTTCTCCACCGCCGTCACCGCCATGATCTGCGCGCATCAGTGGAGATGGCATCAGGATGCTGAGATCTCGGTGCCCACGTGGGGAAAAAGATATGGTATGACGATGGGCATGGCGCTGCACGTATGGGGTTGCGGCCAATTCCATTCAAGAGCTATCTCATCTCTTCTCCCTCTCTCTTCCCTGGCCTTGACAAATACATCCATGCTGGAGGATGTTCAGGCAGCCCGTCTTCCCGTCTCCCGCCTCCGTCTCCGTCTCATCAGATCCTCCCCGTCCGTCCGTCATCGACGTCGTCTCCGCCCCGCCTCCACCGCCAAGCGCTTTCGATGTTGCACCGCATAGCCTCACCAGCTAGCTAGCATGCGCCCAAGCACAAGCGCCGCCGTTAGCAGCGCCGGCAAAGACGAAACACTTCCGCCAGAGTTGCTTTTGAAGCCGGTGGCGGCCGGCCGTCGGCTTCTCCCGCGTTGGTTCTTATTGCTAATCGCTGACTGCGGGCGTCTTGCTTCTCGACCGGCAACTAATTGCATGTCTGTCTGCATGCATGCAATGCATGCATCTAGGGTCAAGTCATATGTAGGCGTGCACCTGCGACGCCATTCAGGACAGCTGAGGCACGTCATTTGGCAATCCTCGTCCGGCCGAGGTGCGGAAGACCCTGTCTGTCTATCAGCCACATGCACTAGCACAGACCGCTCCCCACCAGCCGGCCCTTTGAAGGAAGAGAAAAAAAAAAAAAAAAAAAACTCGCTTTTGAGGTCACTTGCGCTTGCACATGCGTCGCCACGCCGCGACGCGCCGCGCCACGCCAACCGCAGTCCCTAGCGCCAACGGCCGTCCGTCCAGACCGATGTACCTACTACGTACGTATGTCGGTACATTCAACGACTACATCCGAAATACCTCATCAACAGTCCCGGTGTCGAGCGAAACGAGATGAGATGGACGGGACATGCATGCTCCAACGGACCCTCCGCATACATACATGCGATCACTGTGCCAGTCCCTTGTTATGACCAATGGCCACGCACCCGCGAGCTCGTAGAACCCATCGAGCCTTCTAGGCCGGGCCGACGCATGCTGTTATCAGGCACTCTCTTCCGTTGCTACCCTTGTCCAAGTAGGCAGTGTGGAAATTGTCCGCCTTTCCGCACACAGCTCTAATGGCGTTGGCGATCGTCGATACGGCTCGCACCGTTGATGGCGCTCTGTGAACAGGGATTCCCGCTGTTTGGCGCCGTTGGAGAAAGGCAAATAGGCAGTAGGTAGGTACCAGGCAAGTACCAGGCAGGTAGGTCACCAAAGTTTCAGGTCCGACCTGACTGTTGGACAGGCTTCAACCGTGATTGGCGCCATTTTCTTTCTTTTCCCTGCTTTCGGCTACTTCTGGGCTTCAATGTGGTGCTCCGGGTGCGCTGGCAATCGGGTGTAGCCAGACGGTGTAGGCGGATGATGTGGCCGTTTGCCCTTCCATGGCGCGCGCAGAAGTTGCAGAAGCAGGTACGGTGTCGCCTCCCGCCGCCATGCCATGCCATGCGCTGCCATGCGGTGCTCTGCACTGCACCGACCACACCACACCTACAGGACCAGCTGTACCTACACCTTTTCGCTCGGTCCTCGGTTCAGTTATTCGTCGAATCTCTCCCTCGCATTCATGCCTCATAATCACAACCATCCGCCCGCATCCGCGTGCGCGCAACCCCTTCCGCACCTACTCCATTTCATTTCCACACCACCCCCGCCACGCCTCCCCCACCTCACCCCACCCCACCAATCTCAGCCGCATCTCTTCCGCCGTTCCCACCAATCTCAAACAAACCCCCGCCTGCCCACTGCCCGTCAGGGCACCGTACCGCACCGTACCTGTCACTTCCCGTCCCGTGTCGCGCCCCGAACCGTCCCGTCCCGTTCCAGACTTGAAGGCGCCACGCCACGCGACACGGCACCACACATCTCCACGCGAGACCATGGATCGCAACAGCCAAAGCGACCATCTGCAGGAGGGAAGCAGAAATAAAAGCAATGTCAGGAGCACACGCCTCCCCGCCACCATAGGGCTAGACCTAGGCACATCCTCGTCGTTCCGCTCGTCCGTAAGCAGGCACCCAGGCACGCGTTTGTTTCCCTTGCTTCATGCCGACCAGCTTGAACGTTCCAGCAGCAGTACAGCATCTTTCTTCTGTCTGGCCGGCTGACTCTTCGACCGTCCGAGGCAAACGCACGACTATTTCCGAGGGCGTGGCGATACGCACTCGTCCATCCATATGTCCGTCTCTCCATTAGTCTAGACTATACTATTTGTTTTCTTTCCTTTCTCTTCTGTTGTTGATGGTTTGAAGCCGTGTATCGCTTAGTCACACTATCAGCCACGTGATAGCCTGTTTCCTTACCTACCTACAGTAGGTAGACCGGCAGAACATCGGGCATGAACGTCACGCTTCCGGTCGCGCGACGTCCTTTCCCCGAAGACTCCAGCACCACCAACCATGGCTTCCCGCATCGCCGCCCTGCAGAGGCAGCAATTGAGCCGGCCTAGCCTTCGCCTGTCGCGACAGCTCCCGCTCGCACGCCAATGGCCCTCGATTGCCCGTCATTCCTCTACGGCCTCCTCCACCTCCGAAGCCGCCGCTAAGACCGCCTCTGAAGCTGCCGACAAGACCACCCGCAAGGCCAAGTCTACCGGCTCCCGGGTGAAGAACTACTTCTGGGGCAGCACCCTCCTCCTCGTCGGTACTGCTGGTTACCTCTACTCCTCCGATACGCGCGCCAGCTTCCATCAATGGCTCGTTCCACGTGTGATCCGCACCGTCTGGCCCGACGCTGAGGAGGCCCACCACGTCGGCACCAAGGCTATGGAGACAATGTACCGCTTCGGTATACACCAGAGGGAGCGCGGCGATCCCGATGCTGCGGGCGACCTGCAGATCACCGTGTTTGGACACACGTTGGACAACCCCATCGGTATCTCTGCTGGTCTGGACAAGAATGCCGAGATCCCGGATCCGCTGTTCGCCCTGGGCCCTGCTGTTGTTGAGGTCGGCGGTATCACACCCATGCCGCAAGAAGGCAATGCCCAGCCTCGCTGCTTCCGCGTCCCCAGCCAGCAGGCCCTGATCAACCGCTACGGACTCAACTCGGAGGGTGCCGACAATGTGGCCCAGAGGCTGCGCCAGCGCGTCAGGGAGTTTGCCTACCAGATTGGCTTTGGCATTGATACCGAGGGCGAGCAGGCAGTTCTCGACGGCCTGGCTGGCGTGCCTCCGGGAAGTCTGACGCCCGGCAAGATCATGTGTGTGCAGGTATGTCTAGACTACCCATCAGACCACGTATGGCACTATCTCACGCGCTATTTTTCTAGGTCGCGAAGAACAAGAACACGCCTGAGGGTGACATCGAGGCCGTCAAGAACGACTACGTCTACTGCGTCGACCGCCTCGCCCGCTACGCCGACGTCATCGTCGTGAACGTTTCCTCGCCCAACACGCCCGGTCTGCGCACCCTTCAGCGCCACGAGCCCTTGACGCGCATCCTCAGCGGCGTCGTCGGCTCCGCCAAGGCCGTCGACCGCAAGACCAAGCCCGCCGTCATGGTCAAGGTCAGCCCTGACGAGGACTCGGACGAGCAAGTTTCGGGCATCTGCGAAGCCGTCTGGGACAGCGGCATCGACGGCATCATCGTCGGCAACACGACCAAGCAGCGCCCCGAGGCCCTCCCCAAGGGCTACCTGCTGTCGGGCAAGGAGCAGCACACGATGCTGGAGCAGGGCGGGTACTCTGGCCCACAAATGTTCGACCGCACGCTCTCGCTCGTCGCCAAGTACAGGCACGCGCTGGACCAGGGCCCGATTGAGAAGGTGCCAGTCGAAGAGGAGCAGCCCAAGGCTATCGAGCAGGCCCCCGCTGCCGAGCCCGAGGAGCCCTCGACGGTCACGGTCGCCGGCCCGGTACCCCACTCGGCGCCGGCGTCGCGCGCGACCTTCATCGAGGAGGCGCACGAGCCGACGTCGCCGCTGGAGGTGGCGGTGGCGGATGCTGCGGCGCCTGCGGCTGCTGCTGCTGCTGCCACCAACCCGTTCGACCACCCGCACAAGGAGATTTGGGCTACCGGCGGTGTGGCGACGGGGCAGCAGGCGCTGCAGCTGCTGAATGCGGGGGCGAGCGTCGCTATGATTTATACCACTATGGTGTATAATGGGTCGGGGACGGTGACGCGGATTAAGAATGAGATGAGGCGGGCGTTGGAGGAGAAGCGGTAGGTGAACGTAATTGGAGGTTGGGGGTGTGGGAGGTGCTGTTGTTGGTGGTGGTGGTTGTGCGTACCTACATACGTACAAGAGGGTTTCAAGAAGCTTTATACATACATACATGCATAGATAAGAACTGTAGGGGTAGGGGCAGGGGTAGGAGCAAGAAGGAAGAAGAAGGGAAAAAACGTCGATTTCTGCTGCTTTGGTGTCTTGAATGCCTGCCTGCTTCCTTGCTTGCTTGTGCCGTGCTGAGTATGCTGCTGTCTGAGTAGGTGGGTGGGTCCTGCTTACTTGTGTCCTTGTGCGTGTCTGTCTCTCATGACTTCTTCATTCCTCCACCACCGCAGCCCGCTCCCGTCAAGCCCGCCGGCGCTGTATTGTACTGTACTCGACGAAGACGACGACGAAGACCAGGAGGCGAGGAATTTCCTACCTATGTGGGGGATAGAGAACGATAGGTATGGTAGGTACGCTACGTTTCGCTACGCCGCCATAGTACCAGTTGAGCACACAGACAAGCACGCACGCACGCACGCTCGCTCGCTCGCTCGCGAAATCAGTACCTAGGTAGGTAGGTAGGTAGGTACCCAGGCCGTACGGGTCTGGACGTCTGCAGGTGCTGGTGCAGGGTGGTTGCGCGTGGGCTGGGCTGGATCAGGTTGGATGTGCATGGTGTGTGTGTGTGTGTGTGTGTGTGTGTGTCGAGAACGTTAGGTGGGTATGTATGTAGGGAAGGAAGGAAGGAAAAGGAAGGAAAAGGAGGGGGCTTTTTACAACCATCAAGCTGGTCCGGTCTGATCTGGTCTGGCATTGTCTGTGTTTTGTTTTATTTTGCTCCTTGACCAAGGGCCATGCATCCTAACTACCCGCATATCGCACCCTGCCCTACCAACGAACCGGCCAACCCATTACCCCACACAAAAGACCAGCCACCGGACAGACAGTCTCTACCTCTACGCAGCAGCGCCCAGCACATTGAGCGCACCTTCCGCCGTCAGCGCGACCAAGCTCTGCGCGCGCTCGCCCCACTGCACCGCTGCAGCCGGGACAGCCTTGCGGAAAGGCTCGGACCAAGCCTTTGCGGCCTTGGAGTAGTGCTGGACCGCGACGCAGCCGGGGCCGGCCACGGCGAGGAACTGGCCCGTGTAGTCCCAGTGCACGCTGTCGATGGCGCTGCCCACGTCCAGCGTCTTGATGGCCGCCGCCTTGCGCAGGTCCCAGATGGCCACGCTCGTCTGCCCTTGCACCACCGCTGCTAGCCACGTCCCATTCTCCGAGAACGACAGCGCTTGCAGCGGCCCGCCCGCTTCGAAGTTGGCCATGTTGTCCCCGCTCTTGACGTCGAAGACTTTGATCGTGCCGTCTTTGCCTCCGGCAGCAAAGAGGTGCCCGTCGGGGTGGAAGCTGCTGCAGAGAAGTTCTGGGGAAGCGTTAGAATGCCTGTTCAAACTAGAAAGGAGGGAATTCATAGCAAGAACATACCAGCGTCAGTGAAGACCTGAGTGAGCAGCTTGTTGCTCGTGAGATCGTAGAGCTGATAGCTCTTATCCACGCCAGTGGAAGCAAGAATGTCTCCGGTAGGGTGAAGGGCAAGAGAGGTAACGGCGCCAGCGTGCGAGCCAATCTGCGCGACCTCCGCGCCGTTCTCAAACACCTTAACGGCGCCGGTCGACGTGGCGACAACGGGCCGGTCCTCGTACCACGCTCCAGCGGTAATGCTTCCACCGGCCTTGAGCGCCTGCACCGCCTGCTTCTGCGATATCGAGTACACGCCAGCGACGCCGTCCGAGCCTCCGAAGAGCGCGAGGTCGCCGCTCTTGTCCAGCGCCAGGCTCTTCGCACCGGGGTACAAGGGCTCGGTCGAGCTCGTGGAGTCATAGGATTGGATCGCGTCAGCCGTGGCCCAGTCCTCTGGCACCTGGCGCTTCCTGCGCGTGCTCGAAAGTCTGCCGGAACATTAGCACAGTCCTCTAGTCGCGCTTTCGCGCCGTGGTAACACTACTACTACTCACTCTGCGTGTCGAGCGTCAATCTTGGCCGCAATCGCTTCCGGCAGCGCCTGCGTGTCGACCTGCATGGCATCTCCGCCCGCCGCGCCACCGGCGCTGACAGTCACCTTCGACAAGGCGTCACGAGCCTCGTCCCTCTCACGCGTTAACCGCGCAATGACCCTCACCGCGGCATCGTGCTGGTAGAGAGCTGTGCTGAGCTCCTGCCGGGTCTGCGCAAGGTGCTGCTTCAGCGTATAAGTTTCGAGGGCGACGGCGTCCCATTCGTTCTGGAAGGCCGCAAGGAGAGACGGAATGGAGGTGAGGGTGGGAGGGCGCGGGCGGACGACGCGCGGTTGCTTCAGCTCGAGGAGGTCGTCGACGGTGAGCTCTTCGCCGTTAACGGGGTCCGTGCCGTGCTCGGAGATGTATGCCTCGATCAGGCGTCGCTCAAAGACATTGCCTGATGCTCAATTAGCTACGGCGCGCGCATGCAGTGAGCTTGGGAATTTGTACGTACCACTCTTGCGCGACGCGACAGGGACTTGGGGTGCTTCGCCGGAGACTGAGTTTGTGTCAGAATGTTGATTTGTGGAGTAATGGCACAGGCAACTTACTTGCGCACAACATCTTGCCGGCAAGGGTGTGGGATTGCGTGTAGTAGCTGGAGCTGGCTTGTATGCAATGCAGAACTGGCAGGCCGTCCGAGGCGGAAGAACCTTCGACCGGCTTGGTGAGTGCCAAGATATTAGGTCATTGTGGCTGAAGCTGTGGCAGTGTCAGTGACGCGTCGCTAGTCTCTATGGAGTAATCATCAACGTAGAGGTTTGAACTATTGAAGTAGAATATAGATTTATGCATGCTCTGTCTATTGGATAATCTAAGAGGAACGCGATTAAAATACCATCTAGAAGTCTGATGTTGGTACCTTTCGGAAATGCAGCAACTTTTTGACAACGCAAACATGGACGAATCTTGTAGATTCTAAAGCAAAGAGTAATCAGTGCAAAATTCAGAGAACTTCAAACCATGTTCACAGCGACCAAGTGGTGCAAACTTCTTAAATGCCGGGTCAAAAAGATTTCGCCGTACGTCCCGCCTCGTGCAGTATGTTGACGAATTGGCTTCTTTCTAGGAGATGGATTCAGGGAACGTTCCGTCAAGAGAGACCTCGCTCATGTCGAATAGCTTTCGCTTCTTCGCTGCACGCGGTGGAGTAACCCTTGTACCCACAAGCTCCGGCCAATTTCGACGCTTTCGGCTCGGCGTTGCTAAGCTCACACCCTCCTCTGACTGTGGCGTGTAATCAGTCGTGGTCATTGTCCGTGCCCGCTGCATGCTACCTTGCCCAGGGGTGGGCGAAAACATGTCGATTCCGTAATCTGTATTAGGTCTGTGTGGAAGACTGAGCCGCGTGTATCTTCTGGATTCTGGTTGAACGTGAGACGCTTGCGTGTGAGGAGGTGGTGGAAGTTGTATACTAGTGTCCTCTGGGACTGAAGGAATAGAATGCTTGGGCAGAACAAACTGCAGTAAACTGTGAGCTTTCCTGTACTAATGAAATATGGTTGAAAACCTACGTGATGACGAATATGAAGCAACGGATCGAAGTACTTGGCTCTCATTTCTGAAACCTTGCTCTTCTGATCAACGATCTGAAATGGTCGTTTCCCCGGAAAGTTCTGACTGAAGCCTTTGCGTTTGTAGCCAGGGAGCGCGAGCAGAAACCCTTCCGCCTTCAGGCATTTGACAAGTCCAGAAGCAGTCTGAATATCACACCCTGAGAGGCTGTCAGCATTGTGTATGTGGCTGAACGCAAGCGTTTTTACCTAGTTCTTTTCGAAACTCTTCATCTTTCCTATATCCATTCATCTGCAACACGTGGATTCCTCTGCGCAACATCGCCAGTCTCTGGAGTTTCGGAATCTTTTCAGGCTCCTTTTCTTCCAGAATACACCTGTAGCAAGCGTAAGGCTCGGCAACGTTGCCAGATGAAAGGTAGCCGTAGCAATGGAGATGTTGCCAGGTGTTGCAATATCCGCAATGGATCTGAGACGGTTAGTATTAGCCATGTATTTCATAGAAAGTACTTGCCATTTTGTCGTCGTCCTCTACGTTGCATCCACATTGACAGCTGATAATATCATCTTGACTTTGAGAGCTAAAGTGATGACGTGTGACTGATGTTTGGAAGTCCGAACGCTTTTTGCGGTTGAGCTCTTCGACCTTCATTTGCGAAAGCTGGTTTCTGCCATCTGGGGCTGGCGAATCCCGATCAAAGACCGCGGAATCTTCAGGCTGTGTTTCAACAAGCTCTTGAGATGGAGGAGAGTTTTGTGGCTACAGCAATGTATTAGCAATGTTTATGAAGACGAATATGGGCCCGCTTGTTAATATAGGTTGAATAATATAGGTTGAACCGGAACTCTTGTTGACTTACCATGCTGCGAAGAATAATCAAACTTTGTTGACTTTCTTCGTTATCCGCTCCACGATTAGAATTGTTGATTGCGATCTGCCTTCCATCAATATCCTCGGGGTCCCGGTCGTGGGGAAGGTCCCTTGAACGAGCCTGGGCTGCATCAAAACTATCAGATATCTCGTCTAGATCAACATCCATTTCCTGGTTGTAGACTTGGGTTGACACTGGGGGCGTAGAAGGCACAACAGTTTTGCTAGCTTGCTCCGGAACCGTGATTTTTGGATCTTGCGATAGTTGTTTCGTGGTAGAACTCGAGTCAACCATGTCTTCATCGATTTCTCCACCTCTTGTGGTCCCGCGAACATATGGAAGGTCGCTCGGAATCTCCTCTCTGACGCCTTCACGTCGATCAATATAAGAAATCGTGAGGTTGATACTATGAGTAACCTTTAGCTTCGATATATCAAATAGTACAAGAAGTTCTCACTTGTGGTGTCCGAGGTCAGCCTCGTGGAGTTTATGGGTGTGTCTCTCCCACCCATCACCCTCCGGAAACCATATGTTAGGACCTTGGCCTTTGACGAAACCAGGAGGATGATAATCGTCAGGAGTGTCATCGGTGTAAAACAAGTACATACGCAATCTGCGTTGTTCTACGACCAGTGTTAGTACAGTGGTCAACGTTTATGCTTGGGTTTGTTTCTGAACCTGGTAAGTGCGGCAAAGTTCCACAGAAACGTGACAACAGTCGAATAAATTTCTCAAGATTGTGTTTTGCTCTTCTTGTTGTCAAGATTTGGCTGGCCAAGCTGCCCGTCTGTTCCAGCGGTTCCTCTACTTGACCACCTGGGCTTTCGAACTGCAGTCCGGCAACTGCTTTCCCGCCGTACTCTGGCAAATCAACGTACTTGACGGTGAATGTGTATGTCTCGATGACTTCGTAGGCTTTGTCTGGGTCCTCGTAGATCTGTATTTGCACCGCACGAAGGTATCTGTGTTTAAGAGCATCAAAGGCGCCCTTTTCCTGTCATTCATGTCAGCCACTGAACTGGGCGCTGAGATCAACCGCTCTTCCGCCGAGGGAAATAACAATATCAGCGACTGAAGTGGCAACTGATGGTGTCCATACTAGCCAGTCCATGAGTTTGTTCACCGTCTTGTTACGGCCGCGCTTCAAGATACACATAACTGCCCCCCTCTGTAGTCCACTCGAATTGGTGGGATCGTGGCCAGCTATGTAGTCGTCATAAGTCCACTGCGGGTCGTCGCGATTGTATTGCTGATGCTCATAGCAACTTTCTGCGAAGATCTCTCTGCGGTTGGGTGAACAGAGCGGCCTAAAAACGCTGAGGAGCGAACTTGCATACCTGCAGAACAACACATTGCTGATCTAGAATGGACGTTAGTCACAACAATTGCTGTCAGTGGGTGAGAGGTTTTACTAACGGAGCTGTGAATCAATGTCTGAGCAATATCGGTGCTTTGGTCCAACTCGATAGGTTGCAGCTCTTTCGCCGCTGAGGCTTTCTCGGCTGTTTTGTTCTTTGCTGCTACGCTCGCTGTTCTCGTGGCTCTTGTCGCTGTAGCTGGGAGCTCTGGCGGAGCACCACTTCTGGGGCGAAGTCTCATGGCTGTAGCACTCGACATACTGCAGGTGACGCCGAGATGTCGACCACCCCGTAGTTAAAGCGAATTGAAAGAAAAGGCGAAAAGGTGAAAAGGCGAAAAAGTGAGGGTTGAGCGGGAAGAGTGAAAGTTGAAAGTGGAAGGCGCATCGCGGGCTGACGTCGGGGCAAGGGTGCGGTGCCTTCCAAACCTAGGTAGGCAGACAGCTTGAGGCAACAGCACCAGTACTCAAGGGCGCAAACAATCCTTGATTAACCGGATCCAGTGCCACACGCTTAGCTCAAGTCCGGTCTGAGTCCATGGCTGAGATCGATTTATTAGGAGTAATAATGCCATCTTGAGAATGGGCACAATGGTGTTGATGGAATTTTAAAAGTAAACCACCCGAGCTAGAAGCCAATGAATTCGACTGACAATAAGAAATGTTGACTGAATTGTAGAATGAGGAGGTTGAACCAAGAAGCTACCAGGAAAAATCTCGTCAGCCAGTTGGGCTTAGAAGCAGTAATAGTCTGCAATGTTAACAAAGTTTGTCGTCTTTGTGCCAGCCTTCAGCGTACGCAGTAGAGCTGCGGAGCCACCTAAACACTCAGCTATGCCGGATATCAATAGGTTGGACAAAAATTGATATGACATGGTCATGAAACGATCTACTCGGCTAATTCTGAAGCCGTGCGCTTTGGCGCAGATAGTCACAAATTGGCTGGAGTTAATTTGACCGGGCCTCATTAGGTACTATATAGGGGGCTACGTGTCCATCAAGACATCTCGTAAACGCCTACGTAGTAGATTGATGATCACTCATAAAAGTTCCGCAGAGCCGCACACACAACGGCTCTCGGCAACTCAAAAGGAGGCCCAGCAGCAGTAGGATGCCTAAAAGTGAGCTCGCATGTAAACTAGCTGCTAAGTAGCGTAGATCCATACCGTATTTGGAGGCAAGGGCCCTTTAGTGGCATCTGAGCAATAGGATTATATGAATAGGCAGCTTTATATTAGCTGCACACCGCGTTTAAGGAGCCAGAACCTACGCTTGCGCCGTTGATGACGACGTCGTAAGTCCCTCAAAGGTCGCCTAGGTGCCTAGGTACGGTGCTCCTCTGCGCAGGTCTCTCAGGCTGCCGGGTAAAATCCCCACAGAGGAACTATGACCATCTCTACACGAACCGCATACTGTTCCTCCCGTGGTATTGCATACGTTGCTGGTGGATACGTTGCTGTGTGCAAACAAGGAAAACCGAGATGATCTTCCTGTCCAATCGCAATCCGAGTTTCCTACGTGGTAGTGCTGATACATGTTGTACCAGCATGCGGACATCTGAAGCCAGACTGTCGCTAACAGAAGCGAAACGCAAGTGGCGGGCATGCTGTAGCTGTATCTTTCGGTAGCTCGCAGCAAAGCGATTGAGAAGAGAAGATGACGTCGTCGTCGCGGACGTAGCTGTCAGTTGTCGAGCACGGCGCAGAGAGCGGGAGATCCATGCAGGTGTTCAAGATTTTCCACGGCACCACGAGTCGAGGGGTGGATGCAACGGGGAGTGCTGACATAACCGTTCCAGCTGTTCGTCCTTCAAACCCCCGAAATGCCGGTTTCAGGCTTCGGTGTCCGATGGGGCGGCTCTACGAACGGTCAAGAAACTTTGCTGACGGGCGCACAGCTAATTTGCAGCTTACTGAGTGGCGCTCCCCTGTCTTCGGGGAATCGTCTTACATTTGGCCCCAATCGGAGCGGATCCCGGACATCACAGGTAACGGATTTTCTGTTCTAGTCCACATCGTTTATATATCTGCAGACCCAAAGCATTTCCTGTCTCGTCGGCTCCTACGTCCTTCTCCACCGCAAGTGCTCCCGCGCAGATCCAGGGCCAGCGAAGCGTTCCCGAGCCAGGGCGTCGGAAAGATTAGACGATGCACCTGACCCTCCCGCGATACTCAGATGCAGAAGACTTGACGGGCGGCACCACACGTCACCACGTAAGTCGGGCCTTCCGGCAGAAACGTGTCGCGTGGGAAGCACGCGGGCAGAGAGGCAGTCAAGGCCAGCAGAGGGCACCTTGACCGTATATTTAGAAAGTGGCTTGCTGCGATGCCGTGAAACAGCGGCCTGGCGAGGCGAGGGCCGGAGGGCATGCGGGCTGAAGGGGCAAAGGGGAAGGCGTGTCGCGTGTGAATTTCCCACCAGTCGCAAAGGCAATGCGCATTAATGAAGCAAAGGCGTAGCAGAGCAAGTGGATTCGAGCAATATATGCGTGACGTCGCTCAGCGGGCAGAGAGGAGGAGCGAGGGGACTAGCACGACTAGGAGGCGCAAGCGAATGGGCCAACACCACTTTTGCGCCAAGGCCCAAGGGCCGCGGTGCTTGCCTGTCGCCCAGCCGGGCCGTCAGATCGCCTTCGCCTTACCAACCCCCTCACCGGCCACCACGCCGCACCTCCCAACTTCCTTTCTGGTTACTCGGCCTTAACACACGCTCCACTCCGCCCCAACCCTCCGGTCCTCGCGTGTTTTGCATCCGCCTCGCGGCATTATGCCCTCCTAATAACCACGCTGCCGTCGCCTGAATCTCCCCTGCACGCACGCCGCCCGCCGCTCGCCGCCCGTCGCCCGCCGCTATCGCTCGACGCTCACACGCCCTGGAATACCTACCTATTCTCTCTACCCTCTGCACTGGCCGGGCACGGGCGCGTTCGAGCATAGCTGATCAGTGCGGCCCTGTCTCGCCGAGCGACGTTCATAGCTTTCGTCTCTCCTCGCGCGTGTTACACTCGCGTCTTCAGCCTGCCCGCTTCGGTCTGGCTACACCATGGACTCGGCTTCGACCCTGAGTGGAACCCAGGACTCGTCCGTCTATCCATCCTTTTCTTCGACAACCGGCACCATGTCCGCAGCTGCCTCGCCTGCCACCAAAGCCTCCACCCACGCTTCCCAGAACCAGGCCATGCCGGGCCATCAAGAAATCTCCAAGACTGTTTCGACGCAGGTTCTGGACCCCTATGCCTCTCTCGGCCAGCTTTCTTATGCTCCCACCACGCAAACCACCGTCGTCACCACCACAACTACCACGACCACCTCGTTTCCTCCCTTGATTCTCAACGCCCCTCGCCACCTTCACGAACGGGACCCCAAGTTATATCCGCTGGCGGCTGCCCCCACACCCCATTCGATAAGGGAATTTGAGTTTGATATTGAGGGGAAATCTGCCCGCTTCTGTGAAGCGGACGATGCCCAGCGAGCCTACGATGAGGTATGTCCGTACATCTGGACCATAGCTGTCCTGTCCGACGGGACCACGCACGTTCACCTGGAATAGAGCATCACTCGCCAAAGAAGCTAACCCGGTTTCCCCTAATAGAGCAATCAGCAGTACGCGGCCTTGACTGCCAACCACGGGACCCTATCCTCGACCACGGCCACCGAACCCCGCTACGAAACTCCGAGCCGAAAAAGCAGAATAAGCCGTAATGCCGCCGCTCCTCAAGCACCTGAACACAACCCTAAGAAACGTGCCGCATCCCCCGTTTCGATTGCTGAAGCCGCCGAGCTGGCTGGACTCCAGCGCCGTACGAAGAAGCTCCGCCCAAGCTTAGCCAGGGCCGCTGCTGCTTCCGCCGATGACTCTGGGCCGAGCCGTAGCCACTCCTTCCAAGCGTCACGCTGTTTGGACACGACCGCTCCCGCAACTCCAGACACCGATGCAGGGAGCTCGGGACAGTTGAAGATGCCAAAGTTAAGGAGCGGGGCCAGACGACCAGGATCGAAAGGACAATCGAGCCGGGACTCAAGTCTTAGAACCGACAAACGTTTTGGAAGTTTGCAGAGCAAAGCAGAACAGTGGCGGGCCCAGGACGTTACAAGCCCCAGCAGGAGAACATCCCAAGGCATCTCTACCATTCAGCTTGAAGAAGGCTCAGAACCAGGACAGGCGAGGGATACACGCTGCTCAGGTCTGGGAATAGAGGAACCAACTACTGGGGTTTCTGCCACGCCGCCCATTGCCGAGACGGACCTTGAACCGATCTTACCCACGGCAACGGAAAACGATCAACCACCGCGAACCGCTCGTCCAAATTCACTACAGACGGTTGCCGCTCAGGATGCAAGCCTTCCGAGCCCCAGTCTATCTCCCATTACGGCTGCTGCTAATCTAGCACAGAATGGAGGATTTTCTGGCCTAGGAAACCGGGAAGAGGATGACGAGGAGAACGACGTGTCCAGTCTCGACATTGAAAGAGAAAGGACGGATGAGCACGGTGCTCGAGCAGTAGCTCTTTCCTCCCAGGATGCGAATAACGCCATCGTTCCATTTGCTGACGGCGATGAATTCGCCAGCCAGCTCCAGAAGAATCCTACATTGATGGATATTCCCGTAATGCTGGACATGTTCGACGCCATGCCGGACAACTTCAAGACCTATGTCATGTATCAGCTTCTCCGCCGTTGCACCCGACCAACATTGCAGCATGTTGCGAATGCTGTAAATCCGGCATTGAAGATCGACTTCCTGGGCCGCCTTCCAACGGAACTGAGCCTTAACATCATCTCGAACCTTGATGCAATAAGCATGTGCAGGGCCGCGCAGGTATCGAAGAAGTGGAGGCACATTATCAACTCCGATGAGAAGGCATGGAAGCACCTGCTTGAAAGAGATGGATACCAGCTCCCTGAAGGGGAACTGGAGCGTGCTGTAAGGGAAGGCTGGGGCTGGCAGTTCCCACATGGCGAGGATAGTTGGGAGAGAGATCTCAGCGCTGCATCTACGTTGGCAGGATTGTCTGACAGCGAAAGTAGCCTAACGGTCGCGGCAACTTCTACTCGCGGGAAACGGAAGGCTACCACCAAGTACGCGAGCAGCAACAAGCGACAAAGGAGAAAAGGGCCGACGACATCGCCTTCGAAGCTACAGTCTCAGGCGACCAGTGCCATTCAAGCCCTCGGGAGCCGCGGGCCAATCGCTTATGCCAACGCTGCTGCCTTGGCGGTGCCCCTCCCCAACGTCGGTCTCGCAAGCCTACAAAACCTTCATCTTTTCAAATCGCTTTACCAACGCCATCATCTCATCAGGAAGAGCTGGATGGACGCTGCAACGAAACCCAAGCATCTTGCTTTCCGCGCTCATCAGAGGCATGTCGTGACATGCCTACAGTTCGACACGGACAAGATCCTCACCGGTAGCGATGACACCAACATAAACGTCTACGACACAAAGACCGGTGCTTTGCGGAACAGACTACAAGGGCACGAAGGAGGTGTTTGGGCGCTTCAATATGAAGGGAACATTCTTGTCTCAGGGTCTACCGATCGCTCGGTGCGCGTTTGGGATGTCGAGAAAGGCAAGTGCCTTCAGGTGTTTCAAGGGCATACGTCGACCGTCAGATGCCTTGTCATTCTCCAACCCACCGAGATTGGTAAGGAGGCAGATGGTACGCCTATTATAATGCCGGAGCGCCCTCTTATCATCACTGGATCTCGCGACTCTAGCCTCCGTGTATGGAAGCTCCCGCAGGCGAACGATCCCTCCATCTTCCAGACCACAGCGCCTGCCAACGACAGAGAAAACCCATATTTCATCAGGGCGCTTGTTGGACACCACCATTCTGTTCGTGCCATTGCCGCCCACGGCGACACGCTTGTCAGTGGTTCGTACGATACATCTGTTCGCGTGTGGAAAATCTCGACGGGTGAAGTGCTGCACCGGTTGGCCGGCCACAGCCAAAAGGTGTACAGCGTGGTTCTCGACCACGCTCGCAACCGCTGCATTTCAGGAAGTATGGACAACTTGGTCAAGGTATGGTCGCTGGAGACCGGTGCCTGCCTCTTCAATCTCGAAGGCCACACCAGCCTTGTTGGATTGTTGGACCTCTCGCACGAGCGCCTAGTCTCTGCTGCTGCGGACAGCACCCTGCGCATTTGGGATCCGGAGAATGGCCAGTGCAAAGCCACTCTCACCGCGCATACCGGTGCCATAACGTGTTTCCAGCATGATGGCCAAAAGGTCATCAGCGGCAGTGACAGGACTCTCAAGATGTGGGACGTCAAAACCGGCGAATGCGTCAAGGACCTCTTAACCGATCTGAGCGGTGTGTGGCAGGTCAAGTTCAATGAAAGGCGCTGCGTTGCGGCAGTGCAGAGAAATCAGATCACGTACATCGAGGTAAGTTTTCACCTACATCCGTCACTTGCATTGTTCAAATTGCAATTTTAACGAGCCTGCATCACTAGGTCCTGGATTTTGGCGCTTCCCGCGATGGCATTCCCTCCGATCAACGTGGACGTCGCATCGTGGTCGACAGCCGCGGTCGTGAAATAGAAGACGTCGAAGATGAAGTTGTCGTCGAGGTCCAACAACCCCAACCCCAACCTCAACCTGCTCCTGCTTGAGCAACGTCATCCTTCTTTCCTCTTGGGATTTTACTTTTTTTCTCCAAGCATACACCTCAGGCGGAAGCCTGTTTTCATCGTTTTTAAACCCCACATTATACCCTGACCATGCTTTTTACGATTTTGATATTCAAGACTCTACGGCAGCGCAACGGCGACGACGGAAAGAGTAGTTTATTGGACGAGCGGGGAGAAGGCTGGCCGCATTTACTTCTTTTCCAGTCGTTTGCGTTAGGAGGAAAGGCGGCAAGCACATAAGCAAGCCTACAGGCAGGCTCTTTCACGAGCGCTAAGGACAGGCACATCACATCACTCTATAGACGTGGATTCGGTCGGACATTGTGCGCGCGCGCCACGATAGGCACATGGGTTGTTTGCTGGTCTCCTCATACTATCACTTTTCGCTGAAAGTTTACCTAGTTTCTCATTTAACACTGGTTCTGCGCGGCGTTGCTTCTGTTCTTCTGCTTCAGTTTCTTCACACTCTCTTACCTACTTTTAGTGTTCTTTTTTCTTCCTCTCTCTTTCTTCTTCCGGTGTTCCGAGTGTTACGAGCGGGTGTTGCTGATGGGCGGTATGGTATAGTGGGCGGCGGGCGGATGAATCGGGTGAGATAAAAAGCGAAGAGGCAGAAACAAATCTACATACCCCTCGAGACCTCTTACTCATACTTTCTTTTTTCTTTACTATGTTGCAGTGAGAGCGGTTCGGCGCGGTGCGGTTCTGGCGGCGTGCAGGCGGTTTGGGGGTGGGACGGATGCGACGTTTATCTTCTGCTGCTGCTGCTGCTGTGGATGATGTGAGAGGCGTAGGTATGCCAACCAAAAATACGGTTTTGTGGCTGGGTGGGACTGGCTGTGGTGCGTACAATACTGCGAGCTTTGTCGGTTCGACTGCGTTCAAATCAATAGGGGGTTTTCTACTCCACCCGCTTATACTGTCTGTCATTTTTAATAAAAAGTTCCCATATTAACCCGTAATATGGCGCACACGCGGTCGAATTAACCGCGACGGATTTGCGCTCCGTCCACAGCTCCCGATGTAACGGGAGCAATCATATGATAACACGGCCTTGTATAGAAGCAAGGTTACATTTCGCTACTCGAATCGATCGCTGTCCGATCGCCGTTTGGCATTTGTTGTAGGTAGGCGTAGATACTCGGCCGTGGTGTTTGGACCACGCCACATGACTGAGTCGATCGCTGGGCCTGGGCGCGGTAAGCTTCGCGTTGGCTGCTGTGCTCCTGTAGGTATGCGTCCCTGTGCTGGCGGTGCAGGGTTGACGGTTGGTCGCGCGGGGATGGCGGGGCTACAATATGCCGTGTGTGTGGTGGTGGTTGCACGGCTTCATGTCGTGGAGGGATGACTGATTGCTTACTGACTGTACGTACATGCAGCCATCTGATGATGATGTCTTCGTCCTCTTTGTCACTGCACAGTAGAGGGCTGAGTCCAGCCAAAGAACCAATTTTGTCATGAATGCGAAAGTGAGGATGCTGGTGACGCTATTGCGGGTATAGATGTGAATGTACATAAAATCATCTGATGATGATCTGTTCATAGTCTTCGTTGCCATTTGGTAATTATACGTATGCAGTCATTCGATGATGGTTTCTTCGTCCGCTTTGTCGTTGCACGAAAGAGGCCTGAGTTCAAGAACTTATTTTTCCCCTTAGAAACAAGAAGGGTACCAGCGAAGGTATAAATGGCTGATTGTGCAGTGAATGTACATACAATCATCTGATGGTGATCTCTTCGTTCTCTTTGTCGCCGCACAATAGAGGTCTGAGTTGAGCCAAACAGCCGACTACATGACAATAGTGAAAGTGGAATGTACCAACGCGGGTATAGTAGTCGCCATGGCATCTCAAAAGCAGGCCATAAACACCATAACGAGGTTTGGGTGAAAAGATAGGGAGAAGATAGAGTTCTTCGAAATGATTGCCGACATCAGAGTAGTCGGGATCAATGTCGACAGAACATTCGGTGCTACCAATCCACACTTCACAATGGTAGCTTTCACGGTTGTTCTCTGTCAGTTCCACCTCGTAGTTGTGGGGTTTCACCAGAATCCCGAGCAATTTCAGATGGGCATCAAAGACCTCACCAGTTCGGTGTTCATCTTCCTTGCGGTTTTCGGTGCTGATGAAAGTGATGTGGGCGAAAGAATGCTCGCACATTTCTCGGGTGATGAGACCAGGTACCACAAGAGTAGTACCTCTTATCTCGCCTTCGATCGATGCCCATGACCATGACGGCGCTCGGTAAGGTCTGTTGCGGTCTTCGACCTTTGGTTTATAGACCTCCCAAAAAAGACCCAGCGGCAACATCTCTGCCCAAAGACCGGCTACGTAGTTGAATCCCGTCATTTTTTGCACTTCATGGGCGATAGCCGACAAAGCCACCAATTTGTCTTCTGGTTTGGTTAAATGCCGTTTGGAATACGCCGACGCCACACTCCACCAGAGTTGGTTGAAATCCGCCTGGTATATCTTGTCTGATAGCGTAAGTTTTGCTATTTTCTCCAAGACGGCGCTTTCCTCTTGGGGACCCTCGGTTCCTGGAATTGTGTCGACTGAGGTGCAGGTTTTGCAAGTCCAGATAATGCCACTTTCTGTAAACACAAGCTTTCTGGGCGATAATACAAGCTCTTGATAGATCCACCCCCGAGTTTGTAGACGCGAATGACGCATTGCGTAAAGCTCTCGCTTACACGCATCGGCAGTGGGCCTCAAAAGCCGTATCCATTCTTCCCGAAGTAAAGCATACCATTGCATCCCTCCAGGCACCGGGACTTTGCATGGCAAGCTTCTGAGAAGATCTCGTTCTGCAAAGCAGCTGTGGTGAGAATCTGGACTTGTGGCCGTGACGATGGTGCATGTAGCGTTCTTGTATACAGAGGCCATCGTTGTCACTTCCTTTGCCCAATCCTCTTTGGAGTCCTGGATGATACAAAGGGAGTCGATCCAGATGTATTTGAGGCCGAGCCATTTGGTTATAGTGACGGCATCTTGGAAGTTCTTGGGTAGCTCTGCACAGGGGACGCCTTCCAAAAGTTGACTCAGACTTTTCGTAGTCAGTTGTAGTGTGTCTTCGGCTCCGCCCCAACAATGGCTCAATGCCGTATACCCTGTGGGCTTCTCCTCCTCTTCGTCTGTAATGCACAGACTGATATAGTTTTCGCAACTAGGAGAAAGTCTGACCAAGCGGGTGGGTAGAGTGTTGGTATCCGTAACACACTTATCATGCTCTCTGCAACAGCGATCGAGCCAGTGACGTGCCAGATCAGCATGAGCCTGGGAAGAAGTATGCTTCCATTGATATTCCGAGGTTCCGTAGTCAAGGAAAAGTTTGGAGGAAAGGCGATTAATAGTGGTAAGTACCAGCGTCTGATATCTCTTCTCCTTCCATCGGGGAGTCAAATCAATTGATGTAGTTGGGGTAACGCTCTTCACGCTTACTTCAAATTGGATCGGCTCTTCTTCGTTCTGAGCATCCTTTTGAATAGCTGGTTTTGCTTGTTCAGAGCAACGATTGATAAACGGCAAAGGCGTGTCACTCATGGCACATTTAATGAGTGTGCAGAGATGGCATCCTCTTTGGGCGGCAATTTCAACTGCCCCTAGACTCTGGTGGTCAAACCAACTTTCGACCTTGGGAAATTTGTCGTCGGTATCGCCGTCGGGAGAAGGATAGCGCATCACGGCCTCCCGGTTTTCAAAGCCACGGTACTCCAAGAGCTTCGATTTTCCAAAAAGATGTTTGCAAGCATCGCATAGGACGTGTAATCGGACTTTGCCCTCATCGATTGATGTTTGTGGAAGCGGTGTCGATTCCATCTTTGCGTGAATGGATAATTGACTGAATGTGTAACTTTGAAGTGGGTTGAAAAGGCAATCGAAGCTCTAGCATCGCCGGAAATCAATTGTGAGAGAGAGCAGGAAAGTGGAGACAAGGCAACAGCAACAAATAGCGAGACAATTTAAAGTGGGACTTTGACCAAGACAGCAAACAGGCGCTTACCTCTCTGCACTGCCACTGAGCCATCACTGTAACCTGAAAATCCTTCCGATGTCGAAAAAGAGTCAAGATTTATGCTCGCGAGCAGTCGGACAAGGAGGTGATAAAGAAGATTGGACAACAGTAGGTATACGGAAAGTCTGCAAGAAGTGTGTGTGCTGACTAGATACACGTGATTTCCTGGAAAGGTAATTTGTCAGTCCAGGAACTCAATTCAAGGATTGCTAGTAATGCAGTTGAATAACGGACATGAATTCCCAGCATTGTGATCAAATGCACTTTTGGTATCTCAAACCTTCTTAGAGGCCCTCCACGCCCAGTCTTGAACCCATTCTAGGTCTATCCAAGTCTTGAAGCAACCCGAATCGCAACTCGCACGAAAGCACCATTTTCAGCCTCAAGCCCACTCCCTCCTATTCCTCTTCCTCCACATCTCGACGCCCCGATCCACTTCATCCGTTGTAACGCCATCCCGCACCAAACACATAACGACGCCCAGGGTCTCGACATTCCGATTGCGGGCCTCGTCGTCAAAGAACAGCATATCCTGGTACTCGATGCCGGTGACCTCGTGAATCTTCGCGAAATGCGTCGTCTTGCTCCCGGGGAAGATCTGCAAGTTGTCGAAGAAGCCGATCGCCTTCTCGAACGACGTCGGCGTCGCCCCCGTCGGTATCCGCAGCAGAGATAGCATCTCCCGCCCCAAGTCCGGCGCGTGCGTGCGCGATGCCGCTGCTAGCTTGATGCCTTTCTGGCGGGCCTGGGGGAAGTGTCGTTAGCTCGATCGCAAATGCACCCATTCCCGCACTTCACTCTCCCCGTCTCCTTTAAGGACACCAGAGTAAACTTACCGCAACCAGAACGTCCGGCACATCCCTATAGAACCCGTATCCCTCGCCATACCTATCCTTGACCTTGTCCACGCCGCCATTACTCTGCTGCACAGCTTTGAGCGGCGGCGTGACATGCGTATCCACCCAGAACGGCCACAATGTGTAGTCGAGGTCGAAAGCGAGGATCTTGGGCAGCGGGAGCCCGTCGGTGAAGGTGCGCGGCCACGGCGTCGACGTGTGCACCGCGGTGGCGTTGGACGTGCTGTAACGCGGCATTGTTGCGGTGGGGTACGCGCCGTAGAGGAGGGTGAGGAGAGCGCCGAGGAGCGAGAGGAGCGAGAGGAACGAGAGTGTGGAAAGGGGACGTGAGGAGTTCACTTTGAATGGTTGTTGTTTGATGGAATTTTGCGGTTGCGGGATGAATAAATTCGTAGGGCTGAGATGACGTCGTTACAGGGACCAGGGTGTGAGGGATTGGAGATCAGATCCGCCAGGGTCCAACCGCACCACTTCCCATCCCAAACGGAAATAAATGAACAAGCACGATATCACGATATGGAGATGCAAATGCAGAAAATTCCATTGCTAGTTGTTTTTGCAACCCTTAACATACTGTAGCAAGTTCTGCCTACCGAGTAAGCAACCCATATAGCGTCTTTCGCGCATTAGCGACCCCATGCTAATTCCCTCGTTGTAGTCCTCCTGATATTGAACCGGCCCAGAATGCATGCAAACCATTGCTTTTGACGAGTCAGGAATCCAGCTTGTACTCTAGGCAGCCCATAGCGTCCAGTATGAGCAGCAACTGCGCGCTCTCCGGCTTGCTCTTGCCTTGCTGCTCGAAGGCAGTCGTCGCAGGATCGCGAGCATAACGAATGATGTTCTTTTGCTGAACATCACTTAAGACCCCTTGACAGCCAGTAGCTTCTGCCAAGATCTGCTGCCATAGGGCCTCCGGGAGGTCGCCGGAAAGGCCTGAATCACGATTGTCCGCCTCGATGACCGACGACACATTGGACGTTTGCGGGTAATCCTTCCAGTGGTCTGACGGAGGAGAGGGCTTGTTGGGATGCCCGCTAGCTCGAGGAAGTGAGGTGTAGTCGATCACTTGCGGAGCCGACGGCTTGTCAGATACGCCGGTGATAGCCAGGATTGGTTCTCCTGGGACGGTAGTCGTGGCCATCATCTTTGAGGCGTATGCATGGACTGGATCGTGACTGGTGACCCCGGGGAGAAGAGAGTCCTCGTCTGGCTCCTTTCCTAGCATGACAACGCGAGCATATGCTAACATCGTGAGTGCCATGCGCCACATATCAACGCTGTCATAGCCCACATCTCCGATAATGGCACGTTGTATTTTTTTACGGTAGTTATCGATGTCCATGTTGGGCGAGTGCTTCTTCGTTGGATCAGTGTAGTTTTGGGAGATATCTGGGGGAGACGGTGACTTGCCTGCACTGGACGCTTGTGAGCTTTGTCGTTTTCGGGGTCTTGGGCCGCCCTAAGAGTTAGTCAATGTTATCTTCAGCAAAAGAAAGATTTAAGAACTTGCCGAACACCAGAGCCACCTTGCTTGGCGTTAACGAACTGGAAGGACTCCGAGGAAGCGTTGACTTTTCCCTGGTCGAGATCCGGTTCCACACCAGCAAAATCCGCACGAGCATCTTCCGCAAGTGAAAGGACACTTTGACCGACCTCCGTAAACCCAGTGTTAGGCAGGTACACAATACCCCAGCAGTGATTCCTCTGGTTGTATTCGTCTAGTTGAGTTGCCTGAGGACCGGCCCTCAGAGGACACATGAGGTACTGCGGTGGGTAGTGCATTGCTAAAATGTAGGAGAGGTAGAGGGCACCCGAATCCGTCATATTCGCATCGTCGAAAACCATATAAGGCACCGCTCTCAAGCCCTGTCTACGCTTCAGAAACGTAGCGTCGGACAATGATGCCGTCATCTTAGGCTCTTCCCGGGCAACATCGATGTTGACGCTGCGCGTCTGGTTGGTGATGTCTTCAAGAGCATCATCGGATTCTGAGTGTTCCTGGGTATCCTCCAACTCTGTGGGGTCCACCGGCATCTGTTTCGCATAGACACGGGTGAGTATCTCAAAAGGGCGTGACCCACTCAGGTCGTTGCCGCTGAACACAATCCGACGAAGCACACGGCACTCGCTGAACGATTGTAGGAAAGCCTCCCACTCCTCGGCCTCCTTGTTTGTCTTGACGGTGATCTTGTTGTTTGACAAATCCAGATCAGTGAGGTCGAAAGCAGCCAGCTTGATGATCGCAGCAAGAGCTTGAAGCGAGACCGTCGTCAGCTCATTGCCGGACAGGTTGAGAGATTGGAGTTTGTTGGCCGATACGCCGTCGCGCATTTCCAGTGTTTGTGCCAGAGCCTCGACCATAGCGAGGCAACCCTCATCGGTGAGCTTCTTTCCCGGAAGCTCGAGGTCGAGTGGTGACACCTCCGGGCGAGGTGGTTGCTTGCCGAAGCAGTGAGTGGTTTGTTTTCGCTATTAAAGAGTGAGTCAGCGTGGAGCTTCTTTGTAGGCATAAAATGCTAGTAGGTAGTTGGTACCAGGTCCTTGGCCACGATGCGCCCAAGCTTGGGGCCTTCGGATTTGCGCTAGAGATTCAATCAGCTTCGTCGCAAGACAGGAAGCGCTGCGTCGCGACTACGTACGTTGGTATAATTCAACTTCGCCATGGTGTAATAGTGCTTGAGGCGTGGGGAGAGCTTGCGTGGAGACTTGTGCAGTGTTGCGTGGTGATGTGCGCGAGAAGGTGTGGGAGGTGAGGTGGTTGTTCGGGCGTTGGTTGGCGAAGAAGGAAGGTGCGCTTAAATGTGCATCAAAGGTGCAAACGAACACTCTTTAACACGGAAAAAGTGCATGCTTGGAGATTGCAACGTCATATACAACTCTAACTGGTCTACAGTAGCTTTCCGGCCGGGGAGAGCCTTTCTTAAATCAGTCACACGAGCCCTGCAATTTAAAATGCTTGCGCCCATGTTAACATTCAACATCTGGCAGCTTGCCGTGAGCTAGCTTAGCCCTGCGCGATCGGCACTGACTGTTTGGCCCTGTTTGGATATCGGGTTTTGTTGGGTGTCCAGCCGCGTTTGAGCACAGTTTCCGGAACGATGACATGTCATGTTCATACCCGGCGCAGGCATACCACGGTAAAGGTCTGCACGATTCCCTTCGGCCCACTGAGTCACACCTTGTGATTGCTTTCAGGGAAACGGCTTCGCAGGCTGCAGTCGGTCAATCAAGGTCCAACGGGAAAAGCAGACGAGAGGACTTACTCGGCTCTTGGAAGGAACCCAGTACCGGGCCGCAGACTTCATGGTAGGTTTTCTTCAGTGATCAAGCCCATCTATGCTAGGTTGGCTTCACTCCGCTCCAAAAGAAACCTCTTTCATGGCTTTCCCAAGACGTCCCTCGCCAGAGTCTCCATCAGCTGGTTCCATACCGATGGCGGTCTTGGGTCTGCTCTTGTTTAGTCCCTCAAGCAACGTACAAGCTTTACAGATAGCCTGGCTTGACAGATATCCACATCGCTCGCATTTGCCCATGACCTGTTTCGACACCTGCTTGCTGGCAGTTGCGGGCTTTGCTTGGGATTTCGGCTTTCTGCCTTTCCTTCTGCCACCGCTTCCAACATCCTTGGGTAGTGTGATCTCCGTTTCAAGGCCTTGGACAGCTGCGGCTTCATTTTGCGCCAGTGACTGTTCCATTTTTGCCATCTCTCCGCCTGTGCTTCGGCCCTGAGCACTGCCACACCCACCCTCATCCTCTTCTGGCATAACTTGAGGCGCAGATCCACACCCCGTTTCTCCGCAAGCTTTGTCTCCACCAGCCCCGGGCACAAGCTTTGCCATGTCTTCCCCGCTTCGGACAACGTCCAGAATGGCACTTGGCCTCACTCGCTCGAGGTTTTTAATCAACGCTCTGGCGCTTCCACGGAATGCCTCTGGCGAGTAGATGCATTCTGTGCTGAAGTAGTCGAGGTTCTTGTGGTGGGCGTAAAGGACAATTTCCTTCTCGTAAGCGTACTTGAGTGGCTTGCTGCGCTTAATATTGGTGTGATCAAACCCTTCCTCGCCCGGGGCAGGGGATGACTGAGCGGCAGACGGAGTAGACGTAATGATAGAGGTAGTACGAGCAAGACGGGGAAGATCGCCGCGCAACACTGTGGCAAGTTAGCGCATTGTCGCGAGCAATGCAAATGGCAAAGATGGCTCCGAATGGTGATGCTACATGGGTTCTTACAGTTCATCAGGACAGTCTCAGCGACATCATCTGCATTATGACCCGTAACCACATGGCCTACGCCAAGTTTTGCAGCACCGCGATCCAGCGCTTGCCGCCTGAAGACACCGCAATATGTGCAGTTACCCTTCTTGCCAACTTGTTCCACGACCTGGTCCATAGTCCACCCATACAGCTCGCCGTATCCAACGATAGTCAGCGGCATATCGTACTGCACCGCATTGCGCTTGACCGTCTCCAGACTGTCGTCCCGGTAGCCCTTAATTCCCTCGTCTATGCTCAGCAAAATCAACTCCACGCCATAGTCATATCTTTCATTCAGCGTCTTCAGGACGCTCGCGAGTACGGTGCTGTCTTTGCCGCCAGAGGCTCCGATCGCAATCTTTTCGCCACGCTGGAAGAGGTTCGTCGACGTGATGGTATGGTGAATTTCGGTTTCGAAAACCTCAAGGAAGCAAGGTTTGCATAGCTTCTGGTGGTTCTTTGGGCGCAGTATGAGCGCGCGGTTGCGCTGGCAGAGTGCGCACAGAGAGGGCGGCATGGTGGTAGTCGCAAGTCGGAAAAGTTCTTGAGTCAGTGGAATGTGGGATGGTGCATGGGTGATGAAAGGCGCGGCAGGGCGGCGCGCTAGGTAGGCGCCAAGACGACCTCCACCCAGCATCTCGTCTTTCGTCTCCACCCCCGCAAGTTTCCGTGCCTCATTCTTTCATGTCGAGAACTGTGCGACTTGGTAGTATGAGGGGCGACAAGTCAATATTTGTACCCACGTGGCTTGCACACGGCTCTCAGACCGGAGGCATGCCGGGCAGTGGTGTTATACCACTGGAAAACACTGCACTTTCTTTCATTCGCATGGAGATGATCCGCTCTTCTCGCAGAACTTAGAGGATTATTCCCGTAAAATCAATCGTGTAGTTGATGCACGGCTTCAAGAGCCTCATAGGTAGGCTTCAAGGACCGAAGAGGCTTATCTATGTGCACTTCGCTCTTGCCCTTGCTATGGAGTCTTTGCTCGCATCACTACTTCCCTTTCGTCACGCAGAACCGCAGCTTCCTGCTTTGCTCGCGACTTCATAGCTCTCTTCTCCCTCCTCTTCGCTCTTCTACCCGTACCGCTCCCACCCATCATTCGCAACTATCTTCATCCCGCCGCACTTACGTCTGCTTTGCCGCTCAATCATAAACTACAGCCCTGTCAGCAATGGCAGCCAACCAGGACCCCGAATTCACCACCGTTCTGCCTTCAGAGGGATCTCCAATGCAGAGTTCAGCGCCCCCTCACGCCATGCCACCACCCAAACCCAGCAAAGGCCTCTCAATTCCAAGCACAGTGCTCAGAATTCTTGCTTTCCTATTGGCTATCATTTCGTTCGGCATCGCTCTTAGGTCCACCCGCATGACAAAATGTATCAGAAGCGGCCCCTCGAGCGACACTGTTCCTACCGACGCAAGTGGAAAGGCCACTCCAACCCCTCTCCCCCGCGTCGGAAAGTACTGTGACCCCGAAGGGAGTATCGGCAGGGACTTGCTCATATTGGTTAGTAGCTGGTACCAGTCTCAGATTCTTTGGCTACTTGATGCTGATGGTTGTTTAGCTCTCTGTTCTGATGGCGTTGAGTGCGCTCTGGAACTTGATCAGTATTGCCGGACCTTTGATGAGGAAACCTTTCGGAGCAGCCGCCAACGTAACTTTTCACGACGCGCTCTTCCCGCTGCTCTTGATTTTTTCCGTCTTCACCCTTTTGTACAGCCACTGGTTTCTCAAAACCCAATACAAGAACACGCCGCACCATGTTATAGTGCCTGAAAAGCAATGGGGGGAGGCGGTCAGCAGCCTGGGAATCATCCTAAGGTAAGTCCTTGGGTCTCTTCTTTCATGATTTAGTTCGCTCACTCATACGACCATCAGCTTCTTTCACTTGGCGCTCGCCATTGCAGCTCACGCCGCCTTCAGTCGCCGGAAGAGGGCCCAAGATCAGGAGTGAGAGGCCGAGGATGGCAACGAACAAGGAGAGGGAAGGCTGAGGACGCGAGGGAGAGGGAGAGAGGAGCAGGGGTCGAGGATGGCGCCGAGTGATGGGAGTGGAGGGAGGAGGATTGGACTGGACTGGACCTTTCTACATTCTTTGTGAAGCCGAGATGATTACTTTGCACAGCCCCTAGGTAGTATTAACGACCGACCTACCTCTGACCTATGCAGCGTGCCTCGGAGCCGTGCAGTTGAATGCACGTCAGTGGACGACGATCGGCCGTGGACGCGGGGCAGTTCTGCCACCCGGCCCAGAGAGACGGTGAGGCCGTTGCAATTGGTCACGGCAGCGATGTGTTGTCATGCGGCGGAGCCAAGTCGGCGGTTCGAGGGGTTTCCTGGCAGGGCGGTGTGGGCGGATTGGCGGCTGCACCCGATCGCCAGAGCAACAAGTTTCGGATTCGATCAAAACATCGACGTTCAAGTTCAGCGCGTCGGTGCACTGACGCACGAGCACCATTACACAGCTCGCAAGCCCGTGTCCGTCAAAACGATATGGGCGCCGCCTGACTGCTCAATCGCCTGCCCGCTCCCTTCCCTGCCCACCCCGGAACCGCTGTCGCGCCCAGTGCCCCCGCTGCCCACCGCCTGGTCGTGGGATAGCATCCGCACGCGTCTACCCCGCCAGCACGCGCGATCTACGACGCCCGCCCCGTTCCTGCCAGCACCATGGACGCCGTCCCGGGCGCGAGGCTGGCAGTTCCACATGACCACGACCGGCCGAGTCATAGACGAAACAAGTCCGCCACGACGATCAAGTCCTTCTTGACCGGAAGGGGCCACAAGCGCTCGCCTTCCGACGGCACCACCCTGACCGTCGCGACCCCGAACGAGAATGCAAGGCCCAGAAGCTCCCAGGCCGTCATGGGCGCGATGCCCTTGCTGCCCCCCGACCATCCGCATGGCCAGCGTGTCCTCGGCGAACTCTACAACCAGATGAGCAACGCGCCCGCGTCGCCCAAGAAGTCGGACGAGAACCGCGAGAGCAAGCGCAAGTCGGTCCACAAGAAGACGCTCAGCGCCGTGTCGTTGAGGTCGCTCGCTAGGGGCCAGGACAAGCCAAAGGAGGAAAAGGAAAAGGAGGTCGGAAAGGAGGGGAAGCGCGAGGAGCGGCGCGAGGAGAAGCGTATGTCGCGCGATATCAAGAAGACCAAGTCGTCGACAAGTCTGTCGGCAGTCTTCGCAAAGGCCAAGCAGAGGAAGGAGAACAACCATCCGTCCAAGGACAAGGAAAACACGACGCCGCCGCACTCTGCTGTATCCGCCACGAACGCCCCGATATGGGCAGAGTTCTCCACGCAAAGACCGGCCGATTATCAGGAGACGACTTCCCCGGCCGCCATCCCACCCCGCGACCGACAGGATGTTGACAATGACATCGCCCTTTACACTCCGACCGAATATACCCCCTCCAAGCAGCGCAACTTTTACGATTTCGAAAGGCCAACTCTCCAAATTAGCCGACAAACCTCCGGTGGCAATCCGCGGCCAAGTTCCATGTTCTCGCCAAAGTCTGGTTCCTCGACGTCCTTCTTAGATACCCTTTCGAGAAAGATTAGCGATGAGCGCAAACAAGCATTTAGTGGTAAGGCGCAAAACTTCATGGAAAACTGGAAAATGAAAGGAGACCAATCTAGCCGGCCATCAAACGATTCCATTCCTCGGCGTAGCAACTCCGACAAGCGCAAATATAGCGAGGAAAAGAGGTACATGGAGGCGGCTATCGCCTCAAAACGAGGATCTCGGGTCATGGCGGCTGTTGCGGCGATTAACGGGCGGGCTCCGGATGGAAAGGAGATAGAAGCACCTTTGGACCAGGAGAAGATTGACGCTGAGTTCGAGGCTGTGCTGGTAAGTGTCAACCCCACAGACGAATTTGCAGATGCTAATGCCCTGCAGGATTCCAGGAACATTCCGGAAAATCTTCGCGAGAAAATGCGCAGTCTGAACACACGCGTCAAGGCAGATTTCATCAGTAAAAATAAGATCGACGAGCCTCAACCACCTTTCCTACCGCCAAAACCAGCCTTTTGGGACGAAAGCAGACCAGCGGGTCGCCGCACAACGTCTGACAACAGCAATGAACGTATCATCGACGACGACGAGGATCTTCCTGGCACCAAACGCAGACCTCGGAGCAAGACGTTCACCTTCAGCAGGGCAGATAAAGGTGAAAAGGGCGAAAAAGCCGAGAAGCAAAAGCCGGACACTGGGGGAACGCTGGACAGATCGAGCTACGATACAGTCAAGTCTGCCTCCTCCAAATCGCTGGCGAGTTCAGCAGGCCCTTCGTTTTTCAGCAGAGCCCCCAAAGCCGCTGTTCCGGAAGAATTTGTTGCGTATCTAAGGCAGGTACAAAAGCCCGAAGAAGTCGAGGTTGGCAAAATCCACAAGCTCCGGTTGCTGCTGAGGAATGAGACAGTCGCTTGGGTCGATTCCTTCATTCGCCAAGGCGGCATGATGGAGATAGTGGGCCTGTTGCACCGCATTATGCAGATCGAATGGCGGTACGTGTAACACCCTTGGTATCCCATATTTGGATGATGCGGCTGACATTTCTGCACAGTGAGGAACACGAGGACACTTTACTTCACGAATCGCTGCTCTGCCTGAAAGGCTTGTGCACTACCGACCTCGCCTTGCAGAAATTATGTGAAATCGAGTCGACTTTGTTCCCAGCATTGTTAGCTATGCTGTTCGACGAGGAGCACAAGGGACCCAGCGAGTTCACCACGCGGGGTCTCATCATGAGTCTTCTCTGTGAGTAGAAGACACTATTGAAGGCAGGAATGATTTTACTGACAATGTGTAGTCGCCCATCTCTCTTCCGCTGCACCGCCTGAGCTGCCTGACCGCGCGCGAACCATCCTGAACTACCTTAAGGATCCTCAGAAGCCCGAGCAGGCACGCCCAGTCCCCTTCATCCTTGAGATGTACGAGTCGCGTCCCTACCGCGTATGGCACCGCGAAATATCAAACGTGACGAAAGAAGTCTTCTGGATCTTTTTGCACCATCTGAACATCATTCCTCTCTTGCCCCAAACCTCGGGCGATGGCGAGAATGGTACGCAAGGCCTCAGCTACGCCCAGCAGAACTTCCCGCAACCGCGTCCGCCAGTCCCCGCAGCGCCCTACGTTGGCGGTGTCGAATGGGATGCTACCAACTACATTGCCACCCACCTGGATCTGCTCAATGGACTCATTGCATCCCTTCCCACTGTCGGAGAACGCAACACACTACGCGCCGAATTACGCGCGTCGAAATTCGAAATCACCATGGGTGGTGCGCTGCGCACTTGCAAGGAGAAGTTTTACGGTGCTGTGCATGACGGTCTGCGGACCTGGGTCAAGGCTGCTGCGGCAGATGGTTGGGAGGTCAAGGACGTCAGGTTGGGACCAAAAGAGGAGCCCAAGGTACCAAGGAGCCCGAGCCCCAAGAAGAAGGAGCAACCGCCGCCAAAGATCGAGACGCCAAAGATTGAGCTGCCAAGTCTGAATCTCGGTGTCGACCTGGACAATAGATTGGGTGAGGTCAAGGGAGAGGCAGGAGACGACTATTGGCTTTAATGCATTCAGCTGCTGCGGACGCCTACGGGCTAGGGCAAGGCCGGTGTTGGGTTACCTGGGCTGCGACTGCGAAGTTTCGCATTGCGGCTGGTGTTGGATAAAACGGGTTGTGATAGGCATTTCTTTCGGCGCTTTTGGTCTCCGGGGCTCCCTTTTCTCATTGGTCTTTGAGTGACCTTGCTTTTCTCTTTTCAGCTGACGAAGCTTACGAACTATGACACTCACGAACAGGCCCGACAACCGCATGCCAAAGACGTTGCGAGCGGCTGTTTCTTAGCAAGTTGGTTTGATGTGGACGCTGATTGTTTGTCGCTAACACCTTTATTCGTTTTCTTCTGTAGTCTACTATCGTCATGGGAGGAATGCTTTATAGTGGGATGGGGTAGGTACTACTTGACATTGGGACAGGAATGGATGGTGGAGTGTAATTAGGCGTAGATATACTTATGACCAGCGACATGATCATTTCTATGCATAACAATGGTAGATTGCGCAGATAAGACTACGTACTCGTCCCGCCTTAAACAAACACAGGCCTTTTACAAGGAACCGTAGACTTTTGAAATTGGGCTCACCATGGACTCGATCACTCGCAAGCCTTTGCCGAATGAGGTTAGCGCGCATGTGACGTCACGCGAAGCTAGCGCGTTTTTGATCTGGTCGTAAATCGTAAACACGCCGGCCTCTTCCTCACCAATGGTGCCGACAACCTCCCGACTTGATTGATTTCACCCAGACCCCAGGCTTGGGGTACTGACTTTCTCTTCTGCTAACAAACAGCTTCTTTCCCGCTGGCGTCACAGTGCCTGCGACCGGGCGCCTGTAATAGGTGCTGACAAGATGTTCAATCCATGGCAGTTCCAGCAGGACCTCTCTGCTTTCGTCCCCATGACCGGCTACAATCCATATCCACTATACTACCGTGACCCAAGAATAGCGAATGCTGAATACGACATAACGCATAGCGCCTACCAACAGCAGCCCTGCGGTCCAGGAATGCAACAACATGCTTATGCTCCGAACACGACTCTGGACTACGAAGTGAGGCGATCGAAAGATGACAGCAATGCCTCTGACAAGCAGGACAAGCAGGACAAGGCCTCTACCGGCAACATAGAGGCAAACGCCCCTCTTTCAAACGACCTTAAAGAAAGAGCAGCTCAACTGAAAGCCAAGCTCATTGCTAACCGCCTATCCAACAAGCGCTCCGGCAGCACCCACACTTCAGCCGACATTGACGCTCTCATTGACGATGTAAAGGCATCGAAGCCAACACGTAGTGATATGAATGTTCACGATGCTCACAATACTACCCGCAAGACCGAGCAGCGTCCAGAGGCCAGTTCGCTCGCGCATACTGAAGACGGCGGTGGAACGCTCCACATAAGCTGCGTCGGAAGCGCGCTTCCCGGAACGACCTCCACCACTTTTCCCAAGACGGAGCGTAGACTTGGAGCAACTGCCAAGCGCAAGGATGCCGCTCCCGATATCACTTTGCCATCAAGGCAACGCCAGGGCAACGCTACCGTGAACACCATGGCTCCCGACACTGATATGGATGATGATGATCTAAAGGACTGGCTCAACTTCACCGGCTATCACGATGTTGAATACCGCAAAAACAAGCCGAGCATATTTCATGCGGAGCAGAAGCTTAATAAACAACACAAGGACCTGGAGATCCAGCGGGTTCAAGCTTTTCGAGCATCTGAGTTTGTAGAGCCGAGCCGCAGGGCTTTCTCAGTCATGCCGCCGCTACAGCCACTGATTAGTTCCAGCGCAATCGATGCTAACCGTCCGCGCGGAATGACCGTTTCGAACGTCGCCAACAAGCATGGACTGTCCTCAAATAACACTAGTGCGCAAGGTGGAAGAGTAAGTAAGATCAATCTGGAGACGCGCAATGACAAAGAGCGTGGCAGCCATCGTGTTATTGGCCAGAGCGAAACCCCTTCGTAAGTTCTCCCCAAAAACTAACATGGAATACGATGACGACAGGGCAGTTCCCTCCATAACCGACCCCTTTCTTCCAGCACGCGCGACGCGTATGCTTCCCGCTTGAGCTCATCCGTCAGTCGCAGTGAGAACCGCCCGCAGACGAGGACCGATTACCGCGACAACACGAGGTCATATAGAGACAGGAGCCCCGGCCCCGGCCGCAACCGAACTGCGTCGTTTTCCCGCGCCTCCCACGCTCGCCGGAGCAGATCGCCGTCGCCGCACCGCCGCTCCTCGGACAAGTACATGCCCAGCTACCACCGAGGCATGACCTCGGGCCGGAACGACTATCGCGGCAACAACGCCATGGACAGTGGCCGGCTGCGCTCGCTGTCGCCGCGTGGACGTGGCTCCCGCGGCCGTGGCCGTGACCTCTTCAAGCGCGACCTCTTCGACCGTGACTACTTTGAGCGTGACCTCTTCGACTACCGACTCCCGCGGTCTCCTCCAAGTGGCCCCAGAGCCATTACAGTGCGCGGGCGTGGCAGCCGCGGCATCGGCGGTGGTGGGCTTGGCCGTGGGCTTGGCCGTGGTGGTCGTGGTCTAGGTCGCGGTCGTGCCGAGTGAGATGTTTGGGTGTGGTTATTTCGATTCGCTACGAAACGGATTTATGATTCATGAAGGATGAGAGTACGTGGCTAGGTGGGGTGTTCTTTTGGCTTGCTTCTTTGTAGTGATACAGTAGTCTATGGGGACTGATGGCTGTCTGATAGTTTGCTGGCAATGAATGATATGCAAGTTCATCTAGTTGTGTGTGCGGTTGTGTGTGAAGAACTTCGTTTCAGTGACGTGAGCGAAGAGTGTTTTATTACTAAAGAGCTATTTGAAGATATAAAAAAGCTAAAAGAAAAAAAATAAATGGCCCAGCCAGGAATCGAACTCGCCAGCAAAAAGTACGGCGCCTGGAGTGTGACACTTACTCGTTTGGGTATAACCCATACAACCCAAGTCGATAAACCAGGACCGGCGAACCAGTCGACCAGTAAACCAGTTAGAGAGGGAGGCATCATTCACAGGGGCCATGCTGAATGAACGACAACTGGGCCTTATATACTTGTGCGTGTGGTCTGTGGACTTTGTAGCGATTATGCATGCTGCATACTTGCTGTCCCAGAGCGCGGTGGCACCACCGTCTCCTCCACCACCTCTACCCAGGAACCGAGTGCGAGCACACTTACACGCACATGCATCCTCTCCAGCTCCAGCCTCCTAACCACCTTAACCACCAGCGCCCTCACGCCGCGTCTTCTGGTTGAAATGTGTACTGTGAGTAGGTATATATATATAGAGTGTTTTCACGGCTGTAGTCGATATACTGGACTCGTACGTGGGATTTGCAGGAGCTTTTTAGTAGAGACTTGGTTCTTAAACAACCAGCGTGCACTGAGTCTGTATGATAAATACAGTAGAAGATATTCGTATGTCTACGCTTAACCTTGTTTATTATCTTAACCTTGCCTTACGTATTTGCCCATCTGTTATCTAGCACTTATCTGAAGTTGGGTGTCGATGAGCCCCGCACGCACACACACACACACACACACACACAACTAAACGCTAAACTAAACCTAACTACCCCCTTCCTCTTCCCCTTCCCCCGCCATCCTAACGCGCCTTGTAGTACGCTACTGCTTACTTACTTACTTCTTTACTATACTATATCTACTATATACGCTACTACTACATACAGTAAGAGACCACTACTATACTAGAGTAAGAGACTAGAGACCAGAGGCAAGCTGCAAGAAAGAGGCAAGGAAGAGGAGCTAAACCGCATAAAATATAAAATACTAAGTACGAAACACAAAAACCCCACCCATCGACCCATCGACCTATCCATCCATACAAGACCAAGACCACACGACACGGCACACGGCACACGCACGCACGCACGCACGCACGCACGCACGCACGCATCTTCTAACCTCTTCCACCCCACTCAACCGACCCAAACCACACCCCACCAGACGGTTTTCAAAAAAATAAAAAATAAAAAAAAAGTTTTCATCTTTTTTTTTTTTTGCTATCAATCGATCTGTCTGATGTATATACATCTCCTCACCATTCTCTCACTGCCACCCCCAGTCCAAGGCCATCACTCATTCATAACCATAACCATAAACCCCACGTTAAGCGCCACCAATGCCATGCCAAATGCCAAATGCAAGCCCAGTCATGCACCCCCCAGCCAGCTCTAGAAATGCAGTAGCACTGAAAGCAAAGTGAACGCAAGAAGGAAAAGACGAAGCAAGCAAGAAAAGCCAGACCAGACAACAAACCAGCCAAGCCAAACAGCCCTGATGATGAATGCCGACGAAGAAGCAAGAAGCAAGAAGCAAGAAGCAAGAACGCCCTGCCCGTGAACGAGAACGAGAACAAGAACATGCAAGAGCCGAAGACGGAGAGCGGAAGGATGAGTGTGTCATGTACAACATGCCGGCATGCGTGCGTGAGCGTGAGCGTAGCGTGTGTGAGTGTGTGTGTGTGAGTGTGTGAGTGAGTGAGATGTTGAGGTGATGAGTCGATGTGATGATCGAGAAGAAGTTGAAGAAGCAAGTGTCATTCCAATTCGTGTTGTTGGTGTATGCGTGTATGCGTGTATGCGTGGTGTGTTGTGTGAAGAGTTGATGTGATGTGTGTAGAGCAAGCAAGCAATCGTATCGTCGTCACGCTCGCAGTCGTCGCAGTCGTCTTCCCCAAAAAAACCCCCATGGAAACCCCGACCCCGTCCATCCCAACCGACCAACCAAGAGACACCCAAGTAGTCATAAGACAAGCAAGAAGTAAGCCGCCGCAGCAAGCTACTGCGAAGAAAGGAAGAAAGAAAAACCCGCACATAACAAATCGTCCCATCGTTACAACTGCGCGCCGCCCAAGCAGCCGCCTGGAGCCAGTCACGCACGGCCATACACGGCCGCGCCACCCGCCCAGTTCTGGAAGCGGGCGAGCAAGCCCGGCGCACCGCCCGCAGTCGTACGGGGCTTCTTAGCGGCAGGCTTAGCAGGCATGGTCATGGACATGGCCTTTTGCATGGACATAGCGGGCTCGTCGACAACAGCGACAGGGCGCGGCAGCGCCTTCAGCGACCCTCCGTTTCCGATGTGGACGACGTGGGCGCCGGCCTCGACGTCGTAGCGGTGCAGGTGCTGGACGTGCACAGGCGAGGCGTCGTGCATCGACGAAGCGGAGCTGGCGGGCGACGTGTTTGATGACGAGGACGAGGTGCGCGACGCCGGCGACAGCGAGGGCATGCGGCTGTGGCTGCCGTAGTGGCTGCTGGTGCTGCTGTCCTGGCGGTAGTGCGAGTAGGGGATGCGGCGGTCGTCGGGGGGCGTGAGCGGCATGCCGCTGAGCGCGAGGCCGTACGTTTGTTGTTGCTGGTGGGCCTGGTGCGCGGCGTGCAGCTGCGCCTGCATCTCCTTGCGCTTGGCGGCCAGGCGCGCCTTCTCGGCTTGCCGGGTCTGGTAGTCGCGGATGGGCGCGAGGAAGGGCTCGAGGTGCGTGTACAGGTCGTCGGCGTTGACGCGCATGTCCCAGTCGAGCAGGAAGAGCAGCTGCTTCTCCATCAGGTTGACCTCGGTCAGCGAGAAGCCGAAGTTGTCGTAGCCGCGGACCATGCTGTAGCGCGCCCAGTGCTTGTTCTTGGGCGACGAGTCGTTGAGGTTCTTGGCCGCGAGGATCAGCGACGCCAGGAAGATGCGGTGCACGGTGCAGCGCATGCCCTTGGCGACGGGCGGCAGGCGAGCCTTGAGCCGGGCGAGGTAGACGAGCGACGTCATCAGCGTCGACACGCCGACGTGGCTGCGCTCAACCAGCGAAGTGATGAACGTCTCAACCGAAGGCAGAACGGGCTCGCGACCAAACGAGGCGGGTTGCTGAGGCGGCGTCGACGGAGGCGTGGGAGGAAGGTTCTTGTTGAGCTGCTGAGGCTCGCAGCGGATGACTTGGGTGGCCTTGTGTGCCAGGTAGGTGATCATCTCCTTGGAGACGGGGAGCTGAACAAAGTAGTCGAGAGCGGCAGCATTGTGCTCGGCGCTGACGTTGGTGTAGGAAGCCATTGCGAGAGGTGTATGTGAGAGAGTTGCAAGACTCAGATGGCAGAAGTAGAAGAAGCGATGAAGTCGTAGATGGCGTGGAATAAAAAGATGGACAAAGCTATTGTGCCTTTGGGTATTGTTGGCGACAATAGAAGAGATAGATGGTGATGGTGTTGTTGAAGTGAATTGCCAAGCGAAGTGAAAGGCAAGACAATTAGATTAAAGAGGGTGGATTAGACGAGGCAGACCGACCGGCGGAGAGGCTCGTGATTAGGGAAAGTAGCGGTGGGGTTGAATCCGCCGAGCGAAGGCTGTGCTGCGGAGGAGGGAATTCTTTGAAAAAAATGAAAGAGGCTAAGAAAACGCGAAAAAAGGCGAAGCTCCAACAACCAGGCGGAGACGTTCAAAGAAAGATGGATTGATGAGGCAGGTCACAGTTGGCGGGCGGCGCGGTAGTTACTTATGTTCACCGTCGCGATGGCGGCGATCTGGGGATGTGTGCGGGTCGGAGGATTGATTGGCTGAGAGGCGTCGATGGCCCCCGGTCGGCGCCAAAAGGTCTGGCGGCGGCAGATCGAACAAGAGAGCGCGCGCGATAGGCTGTTTCACGCTCGACGGCTGCTGGGCGTGTTTCAAGACTCTCTGCGAGCGAGCGCTTTTTGGCTGCGGGCGGGCGTACGGTGCAGCGGCGGCAGTGGGGGGACAAAAGAGATTTTTTCTTTCTCTGATGTCGGGAAAGTGCGGGCGGTGGTGGGTGCGCTCTTTGCTAGATGAGCTGGCAAGCACACACTTGGGTTATATCGTTGGTTCGTTGGTTCGTTCGTTTGTGGGAGGCAAGAAAAGAGAGGCCATCCGCACGCAAGGGCGCGCCACGCAAGTATATACCAGGCTGGCTGACCTTATTTTTTTTTCTGGCCTTGCCCTGTCACCCTGTATGATGGCGAACGGCGGTGGGCCCCAGCCTCCTCGGTCGTCCAAGAGAGGGATCGGCCGACTGCTGCGAACACGACTAGTTGTCAAGCCACTAGCCACGTAAAGGCGTGGCTGATGAACTGGCCGGGCGCGCGAGCCAGGACGAGGGACACAGTGTGAGCCGGCTGCAAACGGCCATGGCACGCTCCCCGCATGCACGTGTTGGGGCAGTGCTACAAAGGGTGCGCGTCTGGAATGTGCGTGCGTGTGCGTGGTGGTGTCGTGTGGGCGAGTGGGCGAAGGCTGTGTGTGCCCACTACTGCCCATCCCACCGTCCATCCTTGCCGCATCTGCTCATCCCTGCGCCAGCCACACCCGCTCCTCCCGCTGACTTCTCTTCCCTTCTTCTTCTTCTTCCTCCTCCTCGGCCCGGCGGCCTGCCTGCCTAAGGCCTAAGGCCTCTTCTGGCCCCCCGAGCCCGACGCCCAACATTTCGGGCTGCCACCAGACATGCCAGAGCGGTCATGCCCTGCAACAAAATTCATCAGTTGCGTGTTGCGTGATGTGCGGCGGCGCGATATGCGGGGGCATGTGCTCGGTCTTTTCGCCGTCTCTGTCACCTGACTTGACTCATGTCATGCCGTCATTCCTCACGGGCAGAAAGCAAGTGGCAGCTCGCGTGCCTCTTCGTGACCTCGGCCTCCTCCTCCTCACATCCTTCCGCCGTCCGTCCTCTCCCGCAACCCGCGAGCTTCGTACCTAGGTAGTTAGGGGGGGAGGGGTCCGCGACGGCGCGGCGCAGCGCAGCCGGATTAAGCGCCCGCATGCCCGCCTCGTTCCGCCCTGCCAATCGCATGCTGCGTGTATTTCGGTGCGACGTCCATTACGCAGGTATCCACGCACCCCGCCGGCAGGGCTGCTGGGCTGGCCGGCCGACAGACGCAGGCAGGCAGGCGGGCGGGCAGGCTGGCTGACTCTGGCTAGCTGGAACGCGTGCTTGCTTCGCCCCTTCTTTCATGGAAGCCTTCTCGAAGCGCGCGCGCCATTGTGGTTTGTCGTGGGATGAGACGCGAAACCAAACATGCCACCACCACCTCATGGGCCGTGGTCTCTCGTCGCGGCTAAGCGCTCGCTTCCCCCCCCCCGGGGTCCGGACGGCCGACAAAGAGATGATGGCTTTAGTTACCGACCGTCTGGTTGGCGCGCTGCCGCTGCCGTTTGCTTTCTTTATCTCGCTGCTGCACGCCCGGCTCCTGGCGCGTAGGTAATTTCAGAGGCTATTCTGGGACACGGCGACGACGCACGAAATACCTTAGCCATGCCATGTGCAGAAACCGTTTCGATTGTCCCCGTGAAACCAACTAGACCCGTCACGGCAATCGAGAGCCCCGTTTCGCGCCAGTTGCATTTCTTCCCATTTCTTTGCTGCCCCCGCTGCTGTCGCTGCTGCTGCTGATGCTGTGGCCGGACTCCGAGCAAGCGTCCGAGCGTCCGTGAAACACGACACCACCCACCATCACCGGTCAACACCACGACGCACGCACGACGACGACAAGCACCAGCATCATCATCATCGGCGTCGTCATCGTCAGCTCCGCCACTCTCTGCCCGTCGCTCCCGAGACATTTCGCAGCGCATCGCATTGCCGGGCAATCGTCAGCAGCGAAGCAGCAGCCGGAGCAGCCAGGCCCAGCAGCCGGCCACACACCCACCCGGCTGAGGCTGCTCCCCCGCATTCGGGCGGCACGGCACCACCGTAGGTGCGCACCATCTGGGTGAGAACGACAGATCTACTCCTACTCCGTGCTCGAGTAGGCAGGGTACAGATAGGTAGGTAGGGACGGCCTCTCACGTCAGAGGGCGCGCCAACGCCAATACAATACCTAGCCTTGCACGCCTAGGTCCTCCTTCTCGCCCGCCGCCCGGCAAGGCAAGCTGATTCAGCGCTCTGCATTGCAGCAGCCATCCACGACTCCAACACCGATCGCTGCCTTGCCTACCTTAGGTGCTCCTATCTCGGCCTGCCCGAATAGGCACTTGCTCCCCTTCATACCTGGAGTTGGTCCCGAGCGGTTCGTTTGCGCCGCTCCAGCTATTTGTTCGTCGTTTGCGCTTCCAACAACACGAACGGTACCGTTCCAGCGCCGTACGTGCAGGTTCGCCTCGGCCTGGCGTGGCGTGGCGGTCGCGTTGCCGGAACGGGAACGTGCTGGCTTTATTTGGGTTTCGGTTTTCTTGCTGTTGTTGTCGTTTCGTTGTCGTCATTTTCGTTGTTGGTGTCGTTGTATTTCCGTCTCTTCCTGCATCGTCGTCGTCGTCGCGTTTGTGTTCGTTACCCTGCCCGCTCCCCAAGCTGAGCAGCGAGCTTTGCCTCGCCGAGCCTAGGTGTCTGTGAATAGGTCGCCACCCCGGAGCTCAGTTACCTCTTTCGTACCGTACCCTACCCTGCTCTACCCAAGCACACACAATACATACCCATCCCCCCAGCAAGCCAGCCAGCCAGCCAGCTAACAACCAACAAACCAACCAACCAACGAACGCGCCACCCACCCAGCACCCCAGCCCAACCAATACTACCTCCTACTACCTACCCACCAGGCCCTCAGCCGCAGCCGCAGCTCCCCTCTCTCTCCATTTGCCCCCTCATCCTCGCCTCTTTCGCTCGCTCGCTCGCGCTCTCCGGCCGTAACTCCCGCGCAGCGCAGCGCCACACGAACGCACTCGTTCTCGCTCGCTCGCTCAGTGACGGGCTCGTATCCTATTCTTTCTCCGGTCAAGCCTGCCTGCCTGCCGGTCGGTCGGTCGGGCGGAGCTGTCGCGACCCAAGACCCAAGACACCATGGCCGCGCCATCGTCATCGCCGCAGCCGCACTCGGAGCAACCAGTTGAGTCGCAGCCGCTATCGCACTCGCAGCCGCAGCCGCAGCCGCACTACGTCGTCCGCGTCGCGGCGGACGAGACCGAGTCAAGGGGTTTTTGGTGCGAGCAGATGCGGGAGCTGGGGTGGGTATGTATGTTTGTGTTGTTGTTTGTGGTTGTTTTGTCTTTGTGTGCGGCTTGTTTGTTTGTTCTGTTTGTCTGGTGGTGCTGGTAGTGAGCGTAGCCTCGCGATGCCTACGCGGTCTACCTACGTATAGCTGGTGGGCGCAGTCGCGCTCGCAGGCGCAGTCGCGCTCGCAGGCGCAGTCGCGCTCATGGCACCATCGTCATCATCATCAGCACCACCATTTGGCAACCTATCTCATACCTCACCACACCTCCCCACACACACACAGCACGCCCCCAACTAACACCACGCACAGAACCGCGGCCCCGAAGACCACCACTCCCACTACGTCGCCGCAGGCGGCCTGCACCTCCTCGCCTTCCCCTCCTCCCAACCCACCACGCCAGTCGGGCAGATTATGCCTTTCCCCTACCCCATCCCAAACACCACCAACACAACCACACACACCAACAGCACCAACCAAAAAACAAACACCACCATTACCACCACGGCCACTGCCACAGCAGCAGCCGCAGCAGCAACAGCATACATCGGCTTCTTCAGCGTCGCCCCCAGCCACCGCAACCACGGCATCGGGCGCCTGCTCTGGGATGCCGCGGCCGCGGAGCTCGAGCAGCGCGGCGTGCGGGTCGTGGGGTTGGACGCGGCGGGGGATGTGGTGGGGCTGTATGAGCGGTGGGGGTTTAGGCGGGTGGGCGAGGTTGGGGTGTGGGTTTGGGAGGTGGGTGGGATGGGGTTGATAGAGGAGGGGAGGGCCAGCGAGGAGGTGGTCTTGCATGTCGCCCCCGACGACACAGGCCTTCACGCCAACATTGCAGCGACAGATGCGGCGCTGACGGGGTTTTCGCGGCCGGGGCTGTGGACAAGGGAGGCGCTGTTTGGGCGCTGCGACGTGAGGGGGGGTGTCGTTGCCCCTCATTTTCCTTCATCTGCAAACGAAGACGAGGACGAGGACGAGGACGAGGACAGCCTCCTCTCAATCGCCCTCCTGCGCGCCGCGCCCGCCGGCTTCCGCCTCGGCCCGCTCTACGCGACCAGCTGGACACGAGCGCGCGCCCTGCTGGCGTGGGCGATGCGTACAGCGGTACTGACTACCTCTTCCCCCTCCCCCCATGCTTCTTCCATTCCCCCTCCCCCTACAGCTGCCTCAGGAAGTGCAGGGGGCTCCGGAAGTGCAGGGGGCTCCGGAAGTGCAGGGGGCTCCGGAAGTGCAGGGGGCTCCGGGAGTGCAGGGGGCTCCGGGAGTGCAGGGGGCTCCGGGAGCGTGGGCTCGGGAACAAAAACAATCACAGCAGAGCTCCCGCTCACCCTGAACCCTGCCGCTGCGGCGCTGTTCACGGAGCTCGGCTGGCGCGATGCCGGCGTCAGGTATGTGCGCATGTGGAGGGGGGGCGTGGTGCCTGTGCCGCAGCGGGTGGGTGGGCAGGGTGAGTTGGGTGAGAGGGGGGAGGGGGAGGGGGAGGGGAAAGGCCGGTTCGTGTGCGCCATTTGGGACGCTGCTGGGGGGTAGCGTTGTTTACCTGGATTGGCGTTGGTGTTGGGGCTGGTTTGGCGCGGAAACTGGGCAAGTACGCGACATGCGCGTGCGTGTTTGTCTGTCTATCTTGTGCATAGGTAGCTTATAATCCTACTATTCGTATCCACGCACCTCATGGCCCGATATATCCCGATATATATATCTAAACGCAAATACTCACTTACCTACCTACCTATTTATAAACAGTAAAGCTGACGCACAAACACAAGTGCGCTCTACTATACTACTCTACTAACTGGAACCTTTCTTCTCCTTTTACTTTTTCTTCTCTTCCCTCGACTCCTTTATACATATAGTTAATCCCACTCTTCTGCGCTGAAGTAAACGTATATAATGCTATGCTATAATTCTCTATACCTATACCTACTCTATACATTCCACCCCCTTACCGCTAGCTAGCTAACTACTTGGCTTCTTCCATTCCGAATTTAGGGCTATCTTGATTCTTGAAGATGTGCTTTATTCCTTCGTACCTGCCTATGCTACTGCTTCTATCCTACCCTAATCCACCCTGACCAGCCCAACACCACACACGCACGCCACCACCACCACCACAACAACAACAGAGCAGAACAGAACAGCCAAGAAACCAAGAAAGGCAAGAAAGACGCGATCCACAAAACAAAACAAAACAAGCAAGCAAGAACCCCGCAGGCATGTGTACCTACTTACTACCTAGACTACCTAGACTACTTCCTTCCCTTGCCCTTCTTCCTCCTCCCCTTTTCCTCTCCCGCAGCCGGCGGCGGAGGCGGCACAGGCACCTCAACCCGTCCCTCGACAATCTCCTCGCTCGTAACCCCGAGCCCGACCCCACCTCCACCTCCACCTCCACCACCCCCATCACCCCCTCCGGTACTGTCACCACCCCCCTGCAACTCCCGCAACTTCTCCCCCCCACTAATAAAAAACCCCAAATCGCGATTCACCTCCTCCAGCTCTCTCTTCTCCCCCTCCAGCACCTCGACCCTGACCTCGCCCTCCCGAACCCTCCCCTCCAAAAACCGGATCCGCTCCATCAAGCTATCACTAACGCTCTTCTCCTCTCTCACCTGCCTCGCCAGTCCCCTCGCCAACTCGTCCGCCTTCCCCGCCCGCGCCGCAACACGCGCATGCTCGCGCTCCAGCTCCGCGAGCGCCGTCTCGGCCCGCGCCCGCCCGTCCTGCAGCTCCCGCACCTGCGCCGCCAAGCGCTCGGCGCTCGCGGCCGCCTTGTCCGCCGCCGCGCTCGCTTGCGCAGCCTTGTCCGCTGCGCGCTCGACTTGCTCTTCGAAGTACGCGCGCTGCGAGTCGAGCTGCGACGTCAGCAGGTACGCGTACTCGGAGGCCATGTTGTCCAGTTTCTCGCGCGGCACCGACTCGGCCGGCACGCCGGCCAGCCCTGCGTTCGGGTGCTGCGTCGCCGACGCCGCCGTCGCTGCCCCTGCTGCGGTTTGGTGCGCGGCGGGCAGGTCCACCAATTTCCCGTCGGCCTTGGTCTGGATCAGCCGGTGCACGTAGCCGTCGCCCGCGTAATCCCACACGTGCTGCGTCGCGATGTCCATGGCGTAGCTGTGCGCCGTCGTCTCGTAGTGGCGGAACGCGTGCGCCGCGTCGTACCGCCCGCACCCCGTGTTGCCGCAGATGAGGCAGATCCACAGGTTCGCCGTCGTCCCGCACACGCTGCACTCGTTCTCCGCGCCCGTCCCGTCCGCCCCGTAGCCTCCTCGCGCTGCTAACGAGTCCGCCTGCGTGTACCGGCACACCGGACACCCGCTGCCCCGCCACTTCTCCAGGCACGCGCAGTGGAACACGTGCTGGCAAAGGATCGTCAGCAGGCCCGTCGTCTCGTCCATGCGCTCCAGGCACACCGGGCACGTCGGGAGCTCCACCAGCGAGGGCGTTGGCGGCGCCAGCGGCTTCGCCGACAGCGACGTCGCGATCTGCGTGCTGGTCTCGGACGAGCTGGCGGGCAGCGGTGCCGTAGGGGCCGGCCTGGCTGCAGGCGTGAACGGGTCGTTGGTCATGTTGGGGAAGCTCGAAGGATCGCGGTTGGCATCGGAGGTCTGGAATTCGATCGACTTGACAAACACGACATGGCAGTTCTCGGGCTGGGGTTGTTAGCTTAGTATTCCACATGCACTCAATAACAAAGCTCCAACGCACCTCCATGCTGTTGAACAGCTTCCCGTTCCACTCCTTCCGCCACTGCCTCGCCTTCTTCGCCTCCCGAAACTTCATAAGCACCATGTACTTATTCGCGCGGCCCGTCCGTATCAGCCTGAAATGGCTGACGTCCTCGCGCGTCTGCTCGCCAACAAAGCCCAGCAAGTCCGAAGGTGTCATATACGACGGCACAGCCAAAATGCACAGCGTGGTGCAGTCCTCCTCGCTGAACGCCTCGTTTCCAGGCGCGCCGGCCTCCGACCCCGTGCTCGACGCCGTGTCGTCGTACAGGCCCGGCGTCTCCTGCGCGTCCCGGTACAGATGCACCACGCCCCACCCGACCTCGGTGTTCTTCGGATCCGCCGGCACAAACTTGCCCTTTGTCGCGAGGCCGCTCGACGCGCGCTTTTCCCCGGCGCCGCTGCCGTCTGCGCCGCGCGCCTCCATGTCGATGCTCTGGATGGACACGCGGTCGAAGCGCCAGTCTCTAGGCGTGATCGGTTTCCGCGATTGCTCAACCTGGTCGCAAACGCCGCTCTCGTCCGCAGTCCCAGTCTTATTACGCTCACGCTCACGTCGCGTCCGCTTCGTCCTCACCACCGGCGCAGCCCACGACGTAACGCGGTGGACGGGCAGGAGCGCAGGCGCGAAGATGTCTGTGCCCGGCGGAGGCAGGAACGGCCTTTCCTCTTCTTCTTCTCCTTCTGCTGCTGCTGCTTCTGCTGTCGGTGCCTCTGTCCTTGTTCTGGCGTGTGGTTGCGCGTGCGTGTGCGTCTGCGCGTGCGATTCTGTGTGCGTCTGCGGAGTCGGGTGCGGAGTCGGGTACAGCTCAAACGCGAGGTGGAAGAAGTACGTGGGCATTTATGCTTCTGCGTCTGCGTCTCGATCCTAGGCGCGAGCGGCGAGCGAGTGCGTGCTTGCGGGGTGCTGCATTGCTGTCTCTGTCTCTCTGTGCGTCTGTATGTCTGTGTGTGTGTTTTGTGTGTTTTGTGGAGGTGAGATTGGTAGGTAGGTATGTACCTAGGTAGGTGGGTACCTAGGTGGGTTGGTGGGGGTTGGGTGTTTGGTGTTTGGTCGCAGACGTGGACGGTGACGGTGACGTCCCTCCGCTGCGGCTGATCTTCCGCGGACCCCCGCGGGCCGCAGCGTGCGTGCCTCAGGCAGAATGACGAATGGGAACCTGAGTAGAAAACACCACGACCACGACCACGACCACGATCATGATTATGGGAGGCTCAAAGGCATTACTTGGACATCCATTACATAGTTGACTATTACGATACGATGCGATACAATCCAGCCACCTCACTCCTCGTCCCCCACCCACCCCTCCTCTTCCCTTCCCTCCCCCACCCTACTCCCTACTCACCATCGACATGAATATACCGTCTCCAATCCCCCCCAATAGTATCAACCCTAGCATCCGACCCCCCACGAATCAAGAACACGCGTCTCGCCGCGGCCAGATTATCGCACGTCTGGGAGGCAATGCACACATTACGATCGCAGCAGGTATTGACAGCGCAAATCTCGCCGCTGCCGCAGTCCGATGAGTCCGTGCAGTCCGGCAGCCCGCCGCACGCGATGTCCCCATCGAGACAGAAGCCTGTCCCGTAGCTTGTGGAGGTGCAGATGCAGGATCCGCCGCCGCCGCAGGTCGAGAAGTTGCCGCACGTGGAGCCGGCGCAGCGTTGGCTTTCGCAGACGCCGTTGGTGCAGACGCCCGACGCGCACTGGTGGGGGACGTGGGGTGGTTAGTTTGGGTGGCTGTTTGTGTGGTTGTGTGGGGAGGTTGTTGGGAAAGGGAAAGGGGGGGGGGGGGGCTTACCTTGTTGCCGCAGCGGCCGCAGTTGTTAATGTCCGTCAGCAGGTCCGCCGTGCAGTTCGCAGGCACGACGCTAGGGAGGACCGTTCCATTGCTCATCGTCGTCCATGCCGTCGTGAAGTTGACTGCTGGGCTGATCGTGGTAGTAGTCAAGCTCGGCTCGGCCACTACCACCGTCGCATTAGCCGTCGGCGCCGCAACAGCACTTGTGCCGTTCAGCGGCGTGCCGACCGCGACCCCCGTGGTCGTTTCATTCACCGGCGTAGCGAACGGGACCGTCGACGTAGACGTCACAGTGACCACCGAGCGGGTAGGCCCGATGCCCGTCAGCGTGACTGTGGTGATATAGCTTGTCTCCGTGATCGTCATAACGAAGGTCGAGCCCAAGGATGTCATAGTGCTGCTGGTGACAAAGAGGGAAGTCGAGGTAGACGTTCTAGTGCGAGGACCCACAGCCGAGGAAGAAGACGACGTCGAATTCAGCGCGCTCGTCGCGTTCAACGCGCTTGCTGTGCCCGACGTGCTCGGAAGGGGCACC